CGGGCACTGTAGGTGCCGTCATTCCTCAGGCTGCTTCTTGCTTTTTCTCCTGTAAACTTTGGCCGGGGTTTGCACTGTGGATTTTCCTTGTCTCTTAGAAAGATGTCATGATTGACCTCAGAGACTCATTGAACTTAAGAGCTAGAAAATCAAATTATGTCGAATACCCCCATTTTACAGGCGAGGAAACTGGCCTGCTCAAGGCACAGAGCTGGCCCATAGCAGCCAGAACTAAACGCAGGCCTCCTGGCCCTTTTTCTGTGTGAACATTCCACCCACGATGCTTCCAGTTCTCTTTTAAAATTTAAGCACGCAGCAGTGACACTTTAACAGGCACATCGGTAATTTTTAAACGGGAGGACTGAGAACCTCTGACAGGGTAACAAGACAGGCATGAGATATTTGGCCAGTGCTTGGGTTGCATGCAGATCTTACACTGTGAGGAATGGCTAGTGATGGGGCTGGGTGGTCAAGAGTCAAATGATTAAATGAGGCTGTCTTCGAGCAATCAGGTTCCTTCTCTGACCCTGCTGTCTTTAATGTGTGCCTCTGACCTCACACCAAGTCACAAAGTGGCTGCTGTGTCCCAAGGCATCATATCGGCATTCCAGGCAAAAAAAGGGGGTGGTGTGAGTTAGGTGGGTGGTGAGTGAACCCACTTAAATAGCACATGCACAACTAACCAAAACAATCGCTCTGCTCAGTTACCTGCCTGATAAGTGCAGGTAGCTAGCTAGTCTTGTCTACAGGGCTCACACGATCTATTCCTTTCTTTTTGAATTTTTCTCTGCTCTCTTCAGCCCCACCTGACTTTTTGCTGTACTCGGCGGGCACTTCCGTTTCAAGCCGCCACCCTTTGTCCAACCTCTGCCTTAGGAGGGACTAGTTGCTCCTGTGGGCAATGGGCACTGAAGGATTTATGGAGAGAGTGTGACCTGCATTTTAGAAAGATCGCTGTGGAGAACAGACCTGGGCAGTAAGAAGGGGTGGACGATGAGGCCCAGCCTGGTTACCAATGCACTAACTTCAGAGATTATGTGTATTTCCCAGTGTTTCCCAGCTGTGAATTCAAACCCAGGCCTGGTTGCAGGGAAGACCTGGTTCATGTTGCACTTCTCTTGGTCCTCGCATGCCCAGTGGACCCCTTGTGGGGCCAGGGCCCTGAGCCTCAGGCCCCAGTAACTGACGAAGACCTGGGGAACTGACCAAGACCTGGGTAACTGACCATTAGGCCATCTGTGCTCTAAAACCCACTGCTGAGTGGGTTCTGAAGCCACGTACCCATGGGCCATGGCCTGAGAGTGGGGTAAACACTACGGCAGACCCATTTCTAGGAGGCAAGATGCTCCTGCCACTGGCCTCGAGGACCCTCCTGCAAATCGCAGGACCATCTGCAGGCTCCCACCCAGCCTGGCATCCAGTCCTCTCACCCTCTCCTGGGCCGTGGACTTAGCCTCACCAAGTCCCCTCCTCATATTCCCTCTCATCACCATTTCCCCTAGTAGAACCCGTGCCTGTTTAACTCTATCTTGGCATCTGCTCCCAAGGGCCAGGGACCAGCTGACAACTTCCCCAACGTTCTGATTAAGTCCACATTTGTCATGCGGTGGAGAAGCTGGGCTTTAACTGTGCCTGACCTCCTCTGATGCAATGAGTTTGCACTATTGTTTTTTCTTCTTACACAAGTGATACATTTCCACTTTAAACATTAAAAGTTAAGAGATATATTCAATGTATACTTTAGAAAGTAAGAGATTCCAATAATCTTTACTCTCCTCCAAACCTGAGCATGGTGTATTAAAAAGCTGTCAGTTTACACTGTTGTCAATAGTGACTTTCGGCACAAGGCACTGTGAAGGCCCAACCAAAGGACTCCCTTTGACACCCTGAGGAGCACACACTGAACAGCAGAGCAACCGTTTTGCTCACTCTGAAAACCTCCCCTAGCTGTCCTCCCTGTCTTTCCGGGACCAGGTTTTGGAGCCAAAGCCTTACTATTAGATAAAACTGCACTATCCAACTAAAACTGATTTATTTGGGAAAATGAGTGCAAACATGGCCTGAATTGGTAAAATGAGGCAACTTTCAATACATCCAACATGAGAACCACACACGATGGCTTTCTTACTCTAATATCGGAATCAAAATGTTAATTTCTGACAAGCATAGACACAAACAGAGCTTTTTCAAGAACTTTGTCTTCATGAGCCAGGAAGAAAAATGTTCACACAAGACACTGTAAAATCCTCCCTTCTTTGGCTATTTTGAAAAACTTAATATACCAGAGTTTCAAACTCTTTAAAAACCCACCCTTGTCCTGATCTAATTGCTAAAATTAATCCTGAAGTAGGTAATGTGCAGAAAAAGCAACATCTAAAAATCGAACCTCCTCTTTTCCCAAAGTTTCATTTAAAATACATTAGGAAATCTTACTTTAGAGCAGCAAAGGGATGGCGTCCTCCCGAACACTCAGCCAGCAAGAAACTTGAGACCTTTGTGCAGAAGCAAGTCAGGTGCTTAACAGTGCATGCTGGGCTTTGTAGTTCAGGTTCCTTATGTTTTTAAGAGGCTTCGCACAGTCGTATATTGTGTGTGTGTACGTGCTGCCACCTAGTGGAGCTCAGATAGAACTGTTAAGTCCCAGAGGAAGGCGAAAAGTGCAAAAGCATTTTACAGCTTATTTATAAGATGTGGAAATCATTTCCTTCACTTTAACCTAAGTTCTTGTCATTTGTTTGCACCTACTATGTGCTGTTTCGGGGTACTCAAGATTGAATGAGCCAGAAATTGGCTGTGGAAGATAGCAGAGCAACAAAATAGAAGGGATACAGGTCATTGAAGATACTGGAGCCTTCCTTCCTGGTCATTGAAGCTACTGGAGCCTTCCTTCCTGGCCTTTGACCCAGTAGATAGTTTTGGGGGAGGGAAATAAAAATTATCTTGCGTTTAAGGTATAGTTGTGGTTATTGCCATGCTCAGTCTTCTCTAACACTAACACATGTTTAGGGGGAAGGCAGCCACCCTGACTACACTGAGGGGGCAGGGGTGGGGATCTTCAGTGGAAGTACATGTTGGATGAAAAAAAATTAAGCCTGGCTGACGAGAACAGATGTCAGATCAAAAAGAAAGAGCTAGGTCATGTGAACCCTCTATGCTAGGCTTAATAATTCACATTTTAGCAGGCATGTAATTGGGCAGAGTGATTGTGTAGGTTATTGTGCATGTAGTATTTAAGCTGCTTCACTCAACACCCATCCAACTTAATTTCCCCTGCCTTTTACTTTCTGAAGGCCAGGAAGCAAAATTCTCAATTTCTAGTCTCCTTAGCTGCTAGAGCTGGCTGGCCAATGAAACATGGCCTGGAGTTTCTGAGGACGGCTGCTCTCAGAAGGGTGAGGCCTCTCTGAAAGGCTTTTGACTTCTGCTCTTTCTCTTCCTCTTCTTTTCTCCTGGAATATAGATATGATGCCTTGGGACACAGCAGCCACTTTGTGACTTGGTGTGAGGTCAGAGACACACATTAAAGACAGCAGGGTAAGAGAAGGGACCTGGTTCCCTACAGACAGCCTCAAGGTAAGAGCCCTAGACTAGCTCCTCTAGACTTCTTATGTGAGAAAAATAAAACTTACTTTTTCTCTAGTTTTTTTGTTCTTGGAGCTAAGTGTGTTCGTCATAGTGGTTAAGGACAAACACTTGTGAAGTCAGAAAGATGAAGGTAGGTCCCATATATTTTCCTCAGTAGTTCAGTCACTTAACTCCTCACAGCTGTTTTCTCATCTGTGCAATGAAGATAACTATAGCACCTACCTCAGGGAAATTGTGAGGAAGGACTTAGCATATGTGCAAAACCATCAGCACAATGTGTTACATTTGTACTTAATGTTAGTAATTATTAGAAATTAAATGGATAGCAAAAACTGTCCTTTAAAATATTTTTAAACCCTGATCTAATTTCTGCAGGTGCCCACATGAGGTCTTGTTACCTCATCACCCCACTGCAGCTTCTAATGTTGGGTCTTGTGATCTGTAACCACATGCAGCTGTGCTCCTTGCTTTAATAATGTCTTTCCTTTGACTTTTGAGGATTTTGGAATAGATTCTTTATGAGAATTCTCTAATCAAGACCAACTCCAACACTTTTAAAAAAATCCTTACCCACAAATGTTTTTTATTGATTTTAGAGAGAAAGGGAGAGAAACATGGATTGGTTACTTCCCATACGCACCAGACCTGGGATCAAACCCACAACCTGTGTGCCCTGACTGGGAATTGAACCTGCAATCTTTTGGTGTAGAGAACAACGCTCCAACCAACTCACTAGGCCATGGCTCCAACGCTTTTCATTTAAAAAAAAAAAGTTTTAAAAAAATTGATTCAGAGAGAGGAAGGGAAAGGGAGAGAAACATCAATGATCAGAGCCCCACCCATCGGCTGCCTCCTGCATGCCCCCTACTGGGGATCGAGTCACAACCCAGGCATGTACCCAGACCGGGCCTGAACTGTGATCTCCTGGATAGGTCAATGCTCAACCGCTGAGCCACGCTGGCAGGGCTCCAACACTTTTCTTGATGCAGCTTTCTTCTGCCTCCCTTCGCCCACTGATCTTCAACAATGTTTATTCTACAACAGCCTAAGTCACACGGTATTGAAATATTTGCTTACCCATCTATATTGTCAGTGGACAAACAAAATTTTTTCAAGGCTAGGGACCGTATCTATTTACCCTTACATTGTGGTCAGCTCACATTAAAAGTATATGATTTGTTTGTTTTCTAAACACAGTATGAGTTCCACAAAGGCAGTGCCTTTTGGTGTCTAGACCAATAGTCAGCACATAGTATCTGGTCACTTAATATTTGCTGAGTATGAATATCAGGCTCTGAATAAGTTTCCTGAATACAATTCTGCCAGACTCTCGAGAAAATGTTTCCTATGAACCACAAATACACTGTTTTCTCTGGTCCTGACTTTACTATCAGACCATTTAGTATTGTCTATGTTACTGTTTTCAACATTTTTGTCAGTTTCCATTGATTTTCATCATTGTTCCTTCACAATCATATGTCACAATATTAAAACTCAGATCCTGACTCAAGAAACATTCTGAAGGAGAGGTCGACAAGATGAACAGAAGTTCCAACTCTTTCCCCTGCAGAGACACCAAGTTAACAGTATGTGGACCAAAACACCTTTGTGAGCACTTCAGAAATCACATAAAAAGTTGCAAGAACCTAGGCGAGGACAAAGCTGAGAACAGCCACTCTGAGGCAGGGAGGAGCTGATTCACGTTAACTGCGGCCACCCCTGCCCTAAGCTAGCACAGCTCAACCCCTGGCCCAGGACTTCTCCGCCATGGGGAGGAGGGGAAGAAAGTTCACACAAATGTCCAACATTTTGGAAGGCTGCCCAAGTGACTGGTTTCCGCCTCACCTCACTTGGAGCGCTAATGGTACTGGCATAGTTTGGCAACCAGAGGGTCTGCAGAGCTCCAGACCAGCGCTGGCGTGCCTTGGCACAATCGGGACAAAGTGCCCAACTCACAGCTTCACCCTGGGGAGGGAGAACAGAGTGTGTGTCTGCTCTGCTGTTTCAGGTTTTTGGAGGGTTGTCCAAGGGACTATTAGCTGCCTTGCCTTACTTGGGATGCTCATGGGAAGCAGGTATGAGAATGAAGGAGAGTGGGGTGGCTTCTTTGTGCACCAAAGAATCAACAGTACTGCAGACAGGCACCAGAGGGGCAAGAGGTAGGAACTCCTGAAAAAGGCAAACCTCTCTAACTGGCTAATTACACACTCAAACCCAGACAAGTCACCTCCTCCCCAAAAGGTTTCAGAGGCCCCCAGGACCTCTAACCAGGCTGACTGATGAAGGTCTTCCCTTCTACGAAATAGTGCATATAGATCGAAGAGGAATCCAGTTTTTTGAATGCATAAAATTCAGCAAAAAATCAGAAAAAAACACAAACAGAGAAGCCCTACTTGGTTTGGCTCAGTGATTAGAGCGTCAGCCCACAGACTGAAGGGTCCCGGGTTCAATTCTGACCAAGAGCATGTACCTCAGCTGCAAGCTCAATCCCTGGCCCTGGTCGGTGTGCAAACAGGAGGCAACCAATCAATGCATCTCTTTCACATCAATGTTTCTCTCTCTCCCTTTCTCTCTCTCTCCCCCCTCCCACGCCCCTGCCCCTTCCACTCTCTCTGAAAAGCAATGTAAAAAGTATCCTCAGGTGAGGATTAAAAACCAAACCAAACACAGAGAAACAGAGAAACATGACCCAATAGAAGGAACAAAATAAATCTCCAGAAATCAACTCTGAAGAAATGGTAATCTATGAATTGACAAAGAATTCAAAATAAGTTTTAAAGAAGCTCAATGATCTACATGAGAACACAGACAACTAAGTGAAACTAGGCAAATAAAGCATGAACAAAATAAGAATATTAACTAAGAGAAACTATGAAAAAGAACCAAACAGAAATTCTGGAGCTGAGGAAATTGAAAAATACAGTAGAGGGGCCCAACAGCAGACTTGACCAAGCGGAAGAAAAGAACCAACAAAGTTGAAGACAGGTCATTCGAGGTTATCCAGTCAGAAAAGCAAAAAAAAAAAAAGAAAAAAGAAAAAAGTGAGGAGTACTTATGGGACATCAGCATCAGCAAGTGGCCTAATACAGGATAAAACATTTAAAGAAATAATGGTCAAATTCCCAAATCTGAGGAAGGAAATGGGCATCCAAGTTTAAGTCAAGCAACATTCTACTAGACTGGATACCTGGTGACTGATTATATTGTTAATGGCCCTATGGTACTTTTATCTCCCAGGTATACTTACCTACTAACTTGCATTACTTTTATTCAGTAGAGGAGCAGATATTGTTAAGAGTCAAATCTGCAACTCTGTTATAGTGTGTTGTTTGGGTGAGGGCGGAAACGAGAAACAACATTCCCAAGGTACGGACAGGGGGAGAAGATTTTAGGAAGGGACAATTTCCCCTTAGCCCTAGAGAACTGCTATGATAGTATGTTAAGGAAATATATCCAACAAATAGACTAAAAATGACAGCTATGATGTAATTCATAATTTCTTCACTGGGATTAATCTTATCAGAAAGGCAAGAATGCCCTGAAATGACTGTTCTGTAACTTGCTGTGATTTTTCAGTCATGTGATATAAAATATGAGATACTCTCTAAAATCATAGTTCTTCACCTCTTATGGAGTCACAGAGCCCTTTGAGAAAATGACAAAAGTATGAACCCGAGTATCCTAGAAAAATGACTCCACACACAAGCCAACACGTTTTCCAGAGGTTATAAGACTGCATGAAGCCCACTCCAAATGCCTTATATAGGTGGGTGCCAGGTTTGGAACACTTTGATAGAAACACTGGTACTGTTTTTCCATGTCTAAAATAAATGGGTAGAATAAGTGATACAGGAAGTTCTTTCAGATGGGAGTGAAGTGCAGCAGAGTACAAAGTTTAATAACCAACAAATTTAGAGTGTTGTACAGGAAGTGGGGTGGGTGGGTAACGGAAAAGAACTTCTGCAGTTACTACAGTAAAAGAAGATTAAGACTAGAAAATAAAAAGGTCATAGCACTTGCTATCCCATAACTTAAATCTAGAGATCATGTGTGTATTTTCACAGCAAAATTCTAATGCCAACAAACAAGACAGGAGAATCAAACGTACTCTGAGTACCCCACTGAGAAACCATTAATTAATATTATAGTTGCGATTCAGTACTAATCAAGTATTAATTGAATGTTTAAGGTACTAAATGAGGAGCTTATAATTTTGTTAAATCACAAGTGAATAACTTTACAGCAATAAAAATGGGTACAATTAAGATTAGAAGTTTCCTTCAATAACTTTATTCTTTAAAAAATATATAAATAAATAAGACAATTCCACTTCTGAGTATGACACCATTCAAGACAATGACATTGCTATCACCATCCTAAATTACTAGAATGCATTAATCTCCTGTCCTTTCACCTTCCAATTCCAATGGCAAACTAAAAATTGAATTGAAATTAAGTTGGACTGTGACATAATTGCCAGGGTTAGACACATAAACTAACAGCTGAGGAATGCTGGGCCCCAGAAAAGTGACAGAAGAGGCTACTGCATCTTGCACTCGGGCAGGTCTTTTTCCGAGAAGGCCTGACAAGCAGCTGACCGAGGATCCACATTTTCTGCTCCAGCAGTTGGCTCTTCTGAGGAAAAAAAACAAAAAAAACAAACGCAATCTTATTTAAAAAATACACAAAAACCAAATATGGCTGGAAGTACAAAGGATGTTAAGACAGTAGAGATATGAAAAATGAAATTGCAACGTGATCATTAACTTCCTCATGTCTGGTTGCTAAAAACGGTGCATTTCACTTCATCAGAGATGGAGAAGTTTATTCTCCATTTTCTCATAAAGTGAATTGCAATTGCAAGAAAAATCATGTTGTCCATAAAACCAAGAAGCGATAGTCTTATTTGAACTCATAAATTTGAGATACAAAGTGAATCAAACATGGATTGAGTTTGATTTCCTTGTGTCCTATTTTCAGAGGAAAAAAAAAAAAAGGTGCCCTAAAATAGTATATATTTTAGAGAATATTTAGACATCTTTGGAAAACTTGTTTGAGCCTTTAAAGCATTTCAGCTGCATCTATTCGTTTATTAATGATACACATTCAAATCATGATATTTATAAAAGTATAGGTGACCCTTGAACAACATGCTTGAATTGCACAGGAATAAAAAAGAATTTTCTTTTCTCCAGCTTACTTTATTGTAAGAATAGAGTATATAATACATATAATATACAAAATACATTAATTGACTATGTCATCAGTAAGGCTTCCAGTCAACACTAGGCTATTAGTAGCTAAGTTTCAGGTGGAGTCAAAAGTTACGTCGATTTTTGAAAGTGAGGGTGGGGGCACATTGTTCAAGAGTTGGCTATAAATCTAGCATAACTGCTCTTACCAATTATCTCAAGTTCTTGAGATAATTTAGATTCCTTTTTATAATTAAGATTTTTAAAAACAGACTTTTTTTAGACTGATATTTTACTAATTTAAGCTGGGACTATGTCTTTTAATTCTGAATTGGTCAGTTCTTTGATTTGTATATACCTCCAGCTATTCTTTTTGTTCATCTCACTGAAAAAATAGTACCAGACAGATCCATATATTGATAAAAAGACTGATAAAGTTTTATTTGTGGTTGGATTAATTCATATTATGCCTGTGCTTCAGGCACCATCAGATAAAATAAGGTGGTTATAAAAGTTTGTTTTTCAAAACCCTTCTAAAATAGTGTGTATGCATATAGCAAAAATTCCATGAAAGTGCTAGCTATGGAAGGCCCTTAAATGTCTATTAAATACTATTCCAGGAAGTGAATAGTTAAAAAAACATTCTGCCCAGCCAGTGTTGCTCAGTGGTTGAGCACAAACCCATGCACAAGGAGGTCACTGGTTCCATTCCTGGTCAGGGCACATGCTCCATTTGTGGGCTCCATCCCCCAGCAGGGGGCATACAGTAGGCAGCCAATTGATGTTGATGTCTCTCTCTCCCCCTCTTTCTTCCTCTCTAAAATCAAAAACATATTTAAAAAAATTCTGAATTGTTTTGTGCTTTATAATATTCCCAGCACTTTCAGAATGCTGACTTGATACACTTTTGATGTGCAGTTGATGAGAACAAATTGATTTCTTCTGTCACAAAGGAGAGCTCTCATAAACGCCGACAACCTTTGGTCAGGGCTTTAAGATGATTTGGCAGGTGTCTTTCTTACTGTATAATTTTGTTGCATTAGATATCTACAGGGTATTTCAGACAGGCAGACACACTGTCACACAGGGCTCAGGCTATGCACAAGTGGGTACAATGAATGCCACATGGTGAGAAAGACAACAAGCAACGCAACACAGACCTTCCCTTGCAATGATTCCCACCTGTGTGCAGCACCCCTGTAGAGCTGGGGGTCTTCCTCGACACTGCCCCACTCCATCCAATCAAGCACCTTGTACTGCTGATTTTACTTCCCAGTCTCTCCCATCTGTCTACTTCTCCCCATCTCTGGTGCACCTGCCAAGTCCACATTACTGTCACTCTTGCTAAGGTAACTGTCACAAACTCTTGCTCTCATTCTTTGTCGGTTACCTCACAGCAGAGGTAATGTTTTCAAAATGTATAAATCATTATGTTCCCTGGTCATTGTTTAAAATCTTTCAAAGGCTTTTCTCTACATGCTTTCAGGAAGAAGTAAAAATTCCTTTATACGGTCTACAATGCCCCACAGGCTTGGCTCTTCTCTCTCTCTCTGGCGCCTCTGACTTCATCCAGAGGCCAGTGCTCTGGCCACAACAATCTCTTTCAAACCTTCTCTGGTTGTGGTCCTCTTACCCTGGGGCTGTCACTGTTCCAACTGCCTGAATGCCTTTCCCTCCCCTGTTTGTTAAGCTAACTCACATTAACCTCTTAGATCTCAGTTCCCTTCTTTAAGGAAGACTTCCTTAGATTCCTAGAACAAAAACCCTATGATAAACTTTTGTGCTCTGAATTTTACTTGGTTTTTGATTACTTGATTACCAACTATACCTTCTATTAGACTGCAAGCTCTAGTGGGCAGGGACCATGTCTAGTTTTGCTCATCAATGTACCATCGGGGTCTAATGTGTGACACAGAGTTGTCAAAAAATTCTGTTTATTGAGTGAATTAACAAGTCTGTGAATATAAAGCTATTGAGAATACTGGCCTACTGAATGGATGAGAGTCTTTTTCAGTAAAATTTTTGTTTTTAGGGTAATGTCTTTATGTCCTTAAGTGAGTTGCCTTGTCTATCTTGGGAAAAGCCTGAGGGTTTAAGAGGCAGTATAAAGTCTTCACTTTATGTCCTTGAGAATAAAAAGTGACTGGACCTCAGAGCTGTGCGTTGGAGAAACTCTCAGAGACAGCAAACGAAGCCTGTGCACTGCCACTGGCTCACCTCCTTCTCTTGTCTAAACTTTGGGACCCCATATTAAAGATAAGTTCCAACTGTTACCCTCCGATTTCCAAGTAACCAGTATATATTTACCCACCTGGACAAAGGCCTAAACCAGAGTTATCAAAATAGCGAACTGGATGTGGTACTGGAAAAGACTTCGATCGGCTGTCAAAAAACCACGATTTTGGTGATTCCTTTGGCACCAAAGGATCTTGTAAATTATGTTCCTTGCACTGAGAGGGTGTACGTTGTCTCTTTTCAGAAGCTGTTCTAGTCATTTTAGGAGTCCTTGGAGAATTCTCACAAGTTACTTCTTTGAGAACTTCATTGGAAAGATGGTGATTATTGCTTAAATTAGGAGAAGAAAGAAGACTGTAAGACTGCTCATTTCCTGAAATGTATTCAACATAAAATATTTTTTAAAAATTATGGTAAACTATACATACACATAATTTACTATTTTATTATATATATATTTAAAAGACTAGCTTATTGATTTTGAGAGAGGAAGGGAGAGGGAGAGAAACATAGATGTGAGAGTGCAGTATCCATCAGCTGCCTCCTGCACGCCCCCTACTGGTGATAGAGCTAGCAACCCGGGCATGCACCTTGACTAGGAATCTAACCAGCAACCTCCTGGTACATGGGATGATGTCCAATCGAGCCACACTGGTCAGGGCTCATATTTATATTTTAATTTCAACTTACTGCTTCCTGTTTGGTCTATTTCCATAGTTTAGAAAGTAAAATGAGGTCAATAGAAATTGAATTAATCTCTGTGATCATGGAGTTTTGAAAAGAAAGCTCAGGGCATGACATCAGGTTTTCAAATGAAGCAAATAACCAAAGTGGTTTATCTGCTGATAGTCTTCTGGATCAATGAATCTTTAACGTACCTTTCTTATTTTAAAATATTACACTGTGCATTTCTGGATGATAGTCTTGCTTCTTATAGGAAATGCCACCAGCATTTACCTAGTTCCTCCAAAGAGAAACCTGGGAAGCAATCCTAGAGGCACAGCTCTCCTTCATTTGATCAGTCAGCCAAGCCTGTTGATATAACCTCATTCTTATCCCTCAAATTCTCCTCTGTATTTTTATTCCCCATAGTCACTTTTAGCTTATTTTAATTTTTGGCCTGGACTACAACAAATAAGGTTCCTACATTGGGTTCCCTTACACTGTTCTAGGAGCCAGAGATGCTATCTGAGCTCACCAGGCCCTGGCTTAAAATCCTCCAGTGGAGGTAATCCTCCCATTACATTTAGGATACCACCCAAACTTCCTCAGAATGACCTATAAGGGCCGATGGAATCTGGAACCATTACCTACGGCACCTCATCTTGCACTGGTCTCATTCTCGATGCTCTGGCCACAGTAGCTGTTTTTAGTTCCACCGACTGGTTACTCTTTCTCACTCACAGCCTGTGCACATGCTGTTCCCTGAGCCCAGAAAGCTTACCCGTCTCTCCTTTCATCCAACCCAACTAGTACTCATTTCCCAGATCTCCTCATAGATTAGTCTTCTTGATCACCGCCCCTCCCAACACTTAGGTAAGCTTTGATCCCTCTGGTGAACTCTTTGATAATGTTTCATTTGTTGTTTTTGTTGTTTAACAACACTCATTACAAATAATTAGTTATTTGTATGATTATTTGTTTAATGCCTGTCTTTCTTCTACTACATCATTAGATTAGCACAAGATTCTAATCTTTGGTAGAAGACAAATAAGTTGGCTAGAATTGTTTATAAAGTAAAAGGAAACAGGCTACAATAGTTCTCTGTTAAGTGAAGCCTCTGTTAAGATATAGATGAAAATATATTTAAGCTGCCCCCTCAAAGATCTCTGTTTACATCTTGGTTCTGGGCCTAGTCAAAAAGAGGTCAGTTGATAGATAGCAAATATCTGGAATAGTGTTACCATAGTCTTATTCCTTTTAAAAAAGACACATTACGTGAGCTCTAAAAATTACTTTCCCAATGTGTGAAGAGTTGCTAACTGGGGGAAAAAAGTGTATATATCGTCCTCCCCAACATGTAACAGCCATAAGCATAATTTCTGTATCATGTAAGCAGATCTTACCTTAACGGTTCATTCTTTTGCTTTATTAGCTGTTCATTTTGCTGCTTCAACTTAGAAATTTCCTTTTTTAGTCGTACATTTTCACTTTTCAAAATAAGAGCTTTTGTACTCTGCACAATGCCACTGCCACCCCCACAGGTGAGGGGTTTATTTGAAGGTTTAGAATCATTATCTTCTAATACCACTGTGGGAGGAAAACACAGATAGGTGATGCTTTTAATTATCTCCAAAGTTCAAAATAAAGGAAACATTACTAAGTGCAATAAATCACTATAAAAATCAACATATCTCAGCCACCATCTCCCTGGAAATCATCCTTGAATTCCTTCTTCTACCTGACTTCCAATGTCAATTCCATTCATTATCAATTCTAAATATCTCTAGAATCCTTCCTGCTATTCTGCATCCACCAATTCTGCTACCATAATCCTGTAAAATCTTTCACCATGATGGCAGCAGTAGCGACCCTCTCTAATTAGAGTTGTACTCCACTGACCTATCTCCTACATGAGTGGAACCACCAGAAGGGCTTCTTCCAACACAGAATGTGTGTATGGGGTCCACCTGCCATTCAGTACACTATAAATACTCCACACTTATCTGTTAACTAAACAAACCTTAGAATCATATTATAGCATATATTATTATATATTCTACACTACCTGTATAAAAAGTAGTATAAGAAATTGTTTTGTAAATTTTAGGTAAAACTGCATAAAAATCTGAGACGCTTATAAAGTTGAATAGTCCACTAAATCACTGATAATTTACAAAAGGGGTAAGGTGTGAAGATACTCCGTGTCCATTTTCTTTTCAATTATTTTGAATTCAGGTACAAGGTGTACCGGAAAAATCACTTATAATTCAAGAACCATTATCCTGACCCTAATGTAATATCAGAGAGTCCTCGGTTCTATTTTTATCCCTTTAAGTTTTCCAGGTAGGAGTTACATTAGACACTAGGGATGTTCAAACTAAATATGTATTAGAGACAACATCTTTAACACTATCTCTAAGTTCTTTTAAATAAGTGGACAACAATACACACATCATCTTATGTTTGCTTGACACTTAGAGTTTTCAGTGTGCTTTCACACACCCCTTTTAGTGTGATCCTTACAAGAAATGTACACACATATGCTAGGAGGTCAGGTGTGGTCCCCTTGATTTCTCACAGCCATTAAGTGAGGGCACACAGCTGAGAGACCTGCCCCTGACTTTCAGAGATACAGAATAAGGTATAGTTTGAGGAATGTATATGCAGAAATTTGATCATTAGACTTGACAATTGTACCTAAGATAAATTTCAAAGAGTTTGCAAGTAAGCATAAACCCTGTATTTTCAGTGTTAAGAACAAGCAGGGTAATATTTACTTATCTGTATTGTGCACTAACTATATTTTACTATGCATATTGTTAAAATCTATTAAGATGTGTTTGGATTTTTATTGGGAAGGGTACTTCTATCTTGAAGTTAAGTCATTCTTTTATAGTACTGAAGTATGTTACTAATATGTAAAGATATGATAATGCAAAGTTAAAATTATATTTTTCAAGACTCTCTAATGGGTAAACAGCTGACATTACGGGACATGTCACAGGATAAATACAATTGTAATGGATACATTTTAAAAGTTCTTTCTAAATTAGTGATTAATCTAGGTTTATTCTTGACTATCACATATATAATAGTAGTCCTCAAATGTAACAAGTGTATTGAGAAGTAAAATGGACAGGATCTGGAAATACCAGCATTTTCTACTTACTTGAGGTATCTTGGGCCTGTTGATTTCTTCTAAGATTTTCTCTCAATACCCTTATAGCTTCTTTTTGATATTCTACAGTGGCTTTTGTAGAAGCAATTCTAATAAAAACAACAATAGATATATGTAAAAGCCCAGCAACTAACTTTTAATGGAAGAATAAATAGAACTGTTGTCAAGAATTTTCTAGAAAGATACATCACACTGACATAATATCCATAAGTAGCAGTAGATAAATAGCTGCCCTCATGACATCCTCCCTGGTATCATGCACTTTGTAGCTGTAACACCACCAAATTGGAAGTATTCTGTTTGGTTGAAGGAGCAATGTTTTTAACATTGAAAAACCAATTCTTTTTAAATTTCTGGAAGCTCAATAGCTATTACTTGGATATTAAGCAAAATAATATTCAAAGGCACCATAAAATAATTGGGCTGTTTCCATGAGGTTCTCGAAACACCTTGAAGGTACAATTACTAGAACCTGAAAGTGAAAAGCAGCTTCCTTTCTATCTAATCATCAGGAAAGCAAACCCTAGGCTGCTAAGGTGATACAGTAAAAGGTCAAATTCTGCTCATTGTTTCCCAGTAAAAAGAGACACTTTATGAATTGTGGGCTTACGCATTAGTCAGTAATGATAAATTAGAAGGATTTCTGAGAGATTTAAAGTATCTGCTGATTTTAGTCTATAAGTAAAATGGCTCTGATAACGAAGAACTTAACTATGCATTATGTTTCATTACAACCAATAATCTTATTAATGGAAGGCTGGTTTGAATGCATCAAGATTCAGACTGCTATTTTTTGAGCAAAATTAGATATCACCATTAAATATAGGAAGAATAAAAAGTGTTAGGAACCAGAAGGGATCTTAAAAAACCTAATACAAACCTATCCTTTTATTAATTATGACTGTGAGGAGCAGAGAGATTAAACAACTTGCATATGTGATATATTAATAAGTGGCAACATTGTATCTCTAAATCAGTTTCCCCAACTATCTGTTTAATGTACTTTTCATTAAGCTATACACAAAGAACTTCAGGCATGCTAGTACAGTACGCATAGCGCCATATATAGATAAATAAATAAAAAGAGAATATGCCCTTGGGCACTAGGTACTATTATTTCAAATGAATTACAGGCTGTGGCAAAAGTGGGTTTACAGTTGCATGAGAAGGTACAAGGCACTTATTAATTACTGTATTATTTTCCAGACGAACAACTGTGAACCCACTTTTACCCCACCCTGCACAACCTTTACATAAAAACACAAGAGGGAGAACAAATGAAATGAAGAGAAGCAACAGACACTGCAGTCACACTGCTAAACACACACACACACACTCTTTTCTCTTCTAATCCTCATGGGGGGGAGGGGGGAGGGGGATGTGGGAGAGAAACATCCATCAGTTGCCTCGACTGATTGTCTCCCACAGGCATCCCAATCGGGGATGGAACCTGCACCTAGTTATGTGCCCTGACCGGAAATCAAACCTGCAACCTTCTGGTGCGCAGGACGACGGTCCAGCCAGCTGAGCCACCCGGCCATGGCCACACACACATTTGCTTAACATGCACTTTCAAGCATAAAAAGGCCATTTTAAGCTGTTTATACATGATTAAGCAAGAAGCATCCAAAGACATAGTATGTTAATAATTGATCAGAATTATGCTTGTTTTTAAAAATCTTTGCATATGTAATGAGAATTTACTAACTTTAAATTTAAAATCTGTGGATGTTTGTATTTATTTAAAAAAAGCTATAATAATATTTTCAAAAGTTAACACAAAGAAACTTGTATCATTTGGAAAGAAAACTTAAGCTATTAAAGTCATGTTCAGTTAAGGCAAAGACGTACTCCTTTTCAAACTCCTTGGCAATTTTAATCTTCTCTAGATCCACTTCTACCAGCTTCACTTTGAGATCTTCAATTTCTTCCTTATAGGGTTTAGCTCCCACAGCAACTTTGTCCTGTTGTAGAGAAAAGTAAAATAGTTTTAGAGTAGTTTCAAAGAGTTGTGAATTGCCTTTATCTGGTAGAAACATTTTAAAACAGCAAACTCTATACGAAAAGTGGGAAAGGCACAAATTTTAACCCTAAAATGAATAACAAATAGATTTTTGATATGAAGTATATTTCAAACTACTGGAAACTAATATGTAGAGAACACATGAAGAATTTTACTTCTTAAAACAAATTCTTTTCCCAATTAAAAAGTACTAAGCAAAATAAAACACTAAAGTTAAAAATAAATAAATGGGTAGACAAAGGTAATCAGAAAAATGTAACAAGAAGACATGAGAACAATATAAAACTAGAACTGAATTCAAGGCACAAAGTATTTATTATATAGCATTATTGGGGATATTCTGTATTCAAAGACAGTTCAATCCAGTGACATAAATATATATACTTTCACTCAGAAAAAAATTATTCATAAATACATACATACTTTTTTATAATTTTTTAAATAAGTAATGTCTCATTGAATTAAGTGTTAAATAATGAAAAGAGCAGACATTCTTGACTTCTTTCTAATTTTAACTGGAATGACGAGACACTGGGGCCATAATAGCAAACTTAATGTCTACTAGGGTCAGACTCAAGTAGAAGTGTGAGAAGAGGCTGGGGCTAAAACAAAACAGAGTGGTAAGGATGTGATGAATGAGTGTGTGCCATAAAATGGCATTCAAGCTAAAAACCATTGAAATGACTGCTATTTCTAAAGAAAACAGGTCATATTCAGCCTATAGGCTATTGGCTAACAGGTGAGACTCAATAATAGGGGCATTAAATAGAGAAAAATTCTTTTAAATGTACTTATCTAGCAAGGAGTGTTAAATATTTAGATAAGCATTTTAAAAAAGTGAACATACATCTTAAACTATAAAAAAATAATATCTATGTCTTTTAAAAATTTTTCCAGAAAGATCAAAATAATCATTATTATACTCCTGCATTTCATTTCTAAATTGTCATTTCCTTTTTCAAAGCCTGAGTATTGAACCTGAGACATACCTAGCTAACAGGAAATTGAAATTGGTTGGATTCCCAAATGATCTGCCAAATTCAACAGTAAAAGGAAAACAATCCTTTTTATTTATGAGTTTGTGAAGTTACCTGAAGTACTTGGATCATTTCTTTTGTTTTTTCTAGGCATTTAGTTGATTCATTAACTTGCGCTTGAAGTTTTGCTATTTCACCATAAGTCATCTCAAGTTCTTTCTGCATCTTTATAATCTTGCCTTCCTTATGAATAGCACTTTCTTTAGCTTCACGTAGTGAAGTTTCCAGCTCTTGAATTTTCTATCAGAAAAAGGACACATATGGGAAAACTGGACAGGTACGTGCAAAAATATGAAACTAGATCACCCCCTTACACTATACACAAGAATAAACTAAAAATGAATAAAAGACTAACTATAAGTCATGAAACCATAAAAATCCTAGAAGAAAAACATAGGCATTAATGTCTCAGACATCTTGAGTAGCAATATTTTTAATGTTGTATCTCACAGGGCAAGGGAAACAAAGGAAAAAAAAACAAATGGGACTACATCAAACTAAAAAGCTTCTCCACAGCAAAAAAAACCCCATCAATAAAATGAAAAGAGGGAATCCACTGTTTGGGAGGACATATTCACCAATGATATATCTGATAGGGGGTTAATTTCCAAAATATATAAACAACTTATACAACTCAACACCTAGAAAACAACCCAATTAAAAAATGGGCAAAAGACCTGAATAGATGCTTCTCCAAAGAGGACATACATGGCTAATAGAAATATGAAAAAATGCTCAATGTCACTAATCATCAGAGAGATGCAAATTAAAACCACAAGGTATCACCTCACGCCTGTCAGGATGGCTGCCATCAACAAATCAACAAACAAGTGCTGGTGAGGATGTGGAGAAAAGGGAACCCTCATGCACTTTGGTGGGAATGCAGATTGGTTGCAGCTATTCTGGAAAACATTATGGAGTTTCCACAAAAAAATTAAAAATGAAACTGCCTTTTGACCCAGAGATCCCACTTCTGGGAATATATCTGAAGAAACCCAGAACACTAATTCGAAAGGATATATGCACCCCTATATTCATAGCAGCACTATTTACAATAGCCAAGATCTGGATACAGCCTAAGTGCCCATCAGTAGATGGGTGAATAAAAAAGCTGTGGACATTTACACCATGGAATACTACATGGTTCTGAAAAAGGATCTCTTACCCTTTGCAAAAGCATGGACAAACCTGGAGAGAACTATACTAAGTAAAATAAGCCAGTCAGAGAAAGACAGACACCATATGATCTCACTAATACGTGGAATCTAACGAACAAAATAAATTGAGGAACAAAATAGAACCAGAGGCATGGATACATGCAGCAGAGTGACAAATGTCAGAGGGGAAGGGGTTGGGGGGAACTGGATGAAAGAAGGCGAATTGAGTAACCAAAAAATATACATACATAGACCATGGACACAAACAATAGAGTGGTGAAGGCCAGGGAAGGGTTTTGGGGGCTGGATTGGGGTGGGCATAGGGGGGAAAAATGGAGGACATCTGGAATAGTGTCAACAATATAAAAAAAAAAAAATCAGGGACACATATAAAAGGTCTGCCATGAAGACAGAATTACAGTATGTAAACTTAAAACAAAGATGATCACATATAGATATTAATTTTTCACAGGTTGCATTCGCAAAAGATAGAAGAGAAACCAAATGTCACACAATTTACAAATGTATTATTTTTTCATTTAGAAGCTGATGATTTTTGGACTAAAAATGCCCAAATTTTACATTATAATGTTTAGTGTTTATTTTATTTATTGGTAAGCACAGTAAAGTCCTAAGCATATTAACTTTGCACTCACATTTTAAATTACCATTACTACTTCGACTCTTTAAAGCAGGGGTGGGGAATGTACAGCCTGTAAAATCATTTGGTCTGGCCCTGCCAAGGCCTCACCAAAGAGAAGCAGTTCCAGCCATCACATTAGGAGTGAATTAATTAAGTGTTTGACCAAATACAGCAGGCTAATTTTTAAGTTGATAATTTTTATGGCCTGCGAATGATGCTATAAATATCCAATGGCCCTTGGCAAAAAAAAGGTTCCCCACCCCTGCTTTAAAGTAATACACATCTTTCCCTTTATTTTTATTACCTAGATTTTAAATGGAAAAATATAAGTGGAAAAATTCAAAGGCATACAATGAAGGGTAGGTTTCTCCACCTCAGCCCCTCAGTTGACCCTGAAGCAATTACTGAACACTTTCAAATGTATCCTTCCAGAAACTTTCTATATGTACCTACACATATAAAAATATAGTTTATAAAAACAGTGAGTCATACATACAATAGGAACATACTAAACATACAGTTCCACATCTTTTTTGCAACCTGACAATGTGTTTTCCAGATCTTTCCATTATCAACATGTATAGATCTCTTACATTTTTGTTTTCATGGATACATACATCCTGTTTTATGAAAATACCATAAGTTAGTTAGCCCATCACCTACTGGTGAACATATAGATTATTTCCAATTTTTTGCAAGTAAAAAAATACCTGAATTTGTGCATGTTTATAAGATTATTCTCATGTATACACATGCAGGCTTTTCTGGAGAATGTCTGTTTCTTTTTGGCTCACCTAGATTTTATTTTTATTTAAAAAGTGAGGTAGGAATCCAGACCTATTTTCTGCCAGATGATAATCTGGTTGTTCTGGGTCAAATATTAAGTTACCATTATCATATATTAAATGTACTACTGAACTCCCTATGCTGTTCCACTACTCTATTTGTCTATTCCAGTATCATTATCAAACTAGTCTATGCTACTCTAATTTGGCTTAAACACTAAACTAAAAGCATATATTTTATTATCTGGTAGGGTATTTTCCCTGGGGTCACTGAAGATGGAGTTTCCTTCTGCTTCTTTATCTTACTGTTTTGGTAGATGAGCTTCATATTTCCACTATTTTTATATCTACCAACTGACTAAAGTCTGTTGTGATCAGCAAACCAATAAGCTGTATACTCCGGTTCTTCTAGTTTCCAATGGTAATTATTAAATTGTATGTATTTATTTTGGTAAAAGTGATAAATATAATTAACTCTTGGGTTCTTCAGTAACTCGTTTGTAGGCTAACGAAATAAAATAGCATGTCTGCTTTACAGACTCCCAAGTAAGGGTAGTTAGTAAAGTAAGTGGATTATTCAAATAAGTACTAATTTTTGGACACAGGTTAATCTGCATAAGAAATGGATATTTTTAGCCTCTTATATTTTTTATTATAATATTAACCAATATTAAAGATGTTGATGCTAGTTGGAAAAAGGGAAATTGCTCTTTCCCTTTATTAGTTCTATATATAGACACAGATTACAGTTTAATAGAAAGTCACATGATTTAGGAAATTTATAATGGAGGGTAATAATGCCTTACATGACATATATACTTATTATTCAAATTAAGCTATGAGTTACTTCTGTTTTATAATCCAAAGGGAAGACCTCATATAATGTCTAGGTTTATAATTAATTGAGTGACAGTTGCAATAGAACTATATTTAATATACAAGCCTATCTCACGCGTACACACAGTTGGTCCATGTTCCTTAATTAATACATTCAATACTATAATTCTGCCCTGAAATGTTATATGAGAGACATCATTAACTCTGCGATGAATCTGCAAATTGAAAAATATAAAAAATTAACATACCTCTGTGATTGGTTGCGTGGCTCTCACATTATTGGATGTAATGTGAAGTTTCTCATCATCTTGTGTAGGAGGATTAGCAAGGGCACCATGTGTCTGAGAGACCTTCAAAGTTTGGTAGTTTTTAAACAGTTTTTCATTCTCCTCTTTCATTGATTTTAGGTCACATTCCCATTCTTCGGCTAAAGTAGCATATCTTTTCTCAAACTCTGTCGATTCATTCACTATAGCCTATTGAACAGTAAAACTACCATTACAGCTCTAAAGTGAATTACATACTTAAAAAAAACTACTATGTAAAATGTCAGAATTCTAGGAAAACATATATGTTGAAATTCAGTTTCAGAACATTCTAGAACAGTATGTGAAGAAATGAAAAAATGTAAACATTCTTTGTGGTTTGCATTGGTTCCTGAAATTTCAGATGATGTTGGATGTTGAGGAGAATAAAAGAAGGATAAAGACTGGAGGGGATTCAAATTGACTTGAAGATGATAATCTTGCCATCAGATCAGTACAAACACATGAAAAGGAATTTGAGATTTGTGGAGGTTAAAGTCTTTATACGTTATGGCTCATAGCAAAACGTTAACTGACACCTAATAGCAAAGCACACCCAGTAAACTTAAAAACAATCCATTTTCCTGCTTCATTCCAAACCTCAATGTTTATAGGAAAAAATTCATTGACTTAGTAATTAATCTGAAAATCTTACATTTCTGTGCAGGGAATAATAATCAATACCGTCTTCTACATCGAGGATAACTATCTCTGAGTTACTCATCCTTTTTATTCCCCAGTTCCTATAGGATATTCTTTTTGCTCTCATCACAAGTGGCTTATTGGTCTTATCTTCAACTTTGCGGCTTTATGGTCATTCTATCAGACCTGGATCCTAAATTAGTTGTTTTCTTGCTGGTACCCTGAACTCTCCTTGGCTCTGTACTACTGACCTCACACCATACAAAGTTATCAATTCCTACTGTCAGGGTGCTGAAAGGTGCCTCATATCCATGCTGTTTCACACAACAGAAATCCCTACTTTCTAATCATGACTGCAGCCTCCATATTACAAAAAACTGAATTATATGGAGTTTTTCTTATCTAAACATTGGTTTTATTCTTTTCTCTATTGATTACAGACTTTTTTTTTTTAATAGTTCATTTACTATATTGCTACCTCTGGGTATTCAACAGATTAACTATGCATTAAACATTATCTATATTTCAATGTGATTTAAGTATAACTTCCAGATGAAAACAAGTGTTAGGGAAAGAACTATCCAAACACTTGAAATAAAAAAACCACACCCAATCTTAAAAGCTACATACTCTAGCTCCCTTTGCTCCAATTGCACATATAAGAAGCCACTTTCTGATTACTACATATTTTATCAGACATGTGAAGTAGGGATTACTTCAGAAAGCAGAATTAATATTCTGATCAGTGGAAAGTATAACAAATTAATAAACTGATTAATGCTGGTTCTTGTGAATCTGTCTACTAGGGTCGATCACCTTGGGAACCATGATACAAACCACATTTTGAATCTCAAGTTGAAGGATAGAGCATATGATAGTGACCCACTGAGATGAAAAGCACGAGGCCTCAATAAAGTAGCTTTCCAGGCCTGTCTATGGCTGTACCATGAGTCATGTCTCACTTGTCTGAGGCTACATAGGGAAAAGGCTCGATTCCTTCAGAAGCAGTGAAAAGTGAGAAAGAAAGGAGAGTGGCAAGAGGATTTAAGATTTTATAAGTGGAGATTGATAATTACACATCCATGTTTTGTTTCTTTAGAAGTCTAAATTAGTATATTTAATTATCTTAAGGAAGCATAATATGTTAGAGGAAGAACATGTTTCACATAGTCAATTTTTTGCACAAACCATATACAAATAAATAAAACATACTTAAAAATCCAGTTGCTCTAAGTCCTTTTAAGAATGAGGTAGAAAAATTAAAGTGAATAACAAAAAGAATGAGGTAGCATAAAAAAATTACTACTTACAATTATTCTGTTATTATAGAACTTATTCACTTGAAAAATCCTGTCGTTTTCTTTCTGGATGCCACTTTTAAGCTTTTCTATATCAAAATGAGTATTCAACCACTCTTCCAAAAAGTGGGTTATTTCTTTCCTTTTACTCAGTACTTGTTGAAATTCTGTCTTTATGCTGTGGAAGTCACTTTCTGAAAAATCTCTGAGAATTTCCTGTGTTAAAAAGTAAGCAATGAATTGTGCAAACATTAGGAAAGTTCTTATCTAAATATCATATAAATATCATAAAAAGGGGAAAATACCTTGCTGAACTCTCATTCTTAATATTTTTGAAGTAAATATAGTTCTAGTTATTCTAATTATATTAGAAATAAAATTCTAATTTAAAACTTTATTCTAGTTATTTGAATAATAAAGTTTTGGCAGTATAGGCTATATAACAGAGGCAGGCCTACAAATTTTGCCTGTTAAGAGTTAAAACGTGTCAAAACCATAAATCTGTGACTAATAATCACAATAGGTGAAGTGCTTCTGGAAGTAACTTTTCTGTGCATATAGCAGTCCTTACCTGCATGTTAGAAATTAGATGCTAGCCTCACATTTCTGGCTGAGAGCAGGACATTCCATGGGGAGCTGTTGCAATAAAAATGTTTCTGACTCCTAGTCACAGGTCTAGAAGTTTTAGAAGGCATTTAGAAACTTATTCTGGGGTCCCATGAATTCCCACTTGCTGATATTATGTAAATTTTTCTGAACTAGCAGAGTTCTGAAAGGAGGCTACTCTATTACTTGGTACTCTTTACATCTGGCCAGCTGTTACTCTGCAGCTTATTTTTAATTTTTGGTAAATGAAAATGCCTGTAAGCACATGAAAAGGTACCCTTCAACTTGATAAACAAGGCTTAAAATCTAATTAAATCCATTTAAAGTAAATTATACCTCAATATGTAGATCCACCTTCTGGCTCAATTTGAGGTTCCTTAATTCTCTGGATGGTGCATCATAATCTTGTGGAAGGTGTGAAAATTGACTTAGCAGCTCATTTTGCTTTTCCACTTCATCAGTAAAAATCATTTCAAATTTATTGATGGATTCGTGCTGTTCTTTCTTTATCATTATAACATTGCTTACCGCATACTTGCAGAGAAACAAAGTGGGAAATTAAACTTACATTACATTTAAAGAATGTTTTAAACCCTCATGACTAAAGGTGGGATGGCATCTGGTTTATCTAGATCCTCTGATAAGTGAGGAAAAAGGAGAGAGACCCTATCTATCCCCAACTTTCTCCTCTCAGCATCTTGGAAGAGTAATTTCTGGTTCCTTATTTCTGACTTCCTACTGGATATACCTGTGGATGTCCTAAAAATACCTCAGAATCAGTTTAAAATGTAACACGATTTTTCCCTCCTAAAACCCCCCCAACTTTCTTTATTGCCCCTTTTTTGGTTAATTATATCACCAATCACCCATGTTTACCAGGTATACCTGATAATTCATTTTCAACATCCTGTTCTGCTCGTCTTGGTTTGGTAACCAGTATGGGTATGTCATACCTCAAGACTTACTTGTCAAGCACATTTAGATGTTTGACTTCAAGGTGACAATAATTTGAATGTTATATGTTCCATGGACTTCATGAATAAATTCTGGATATCTGACTGTCAGGATTTGTGAAAAGACTATCAGAACCTGAGGGGCAATTTAACTAGGTAGGATAGGCACCTGCTCCCCTCCCTACTTTCTCAACTTCCACCATTCCTTAACCTCTTGTAATTTGGCCTTTTCCTTAACTACTCAACTAAAGCTGCTTGGACAAAGGTCACCAATGAGCTCTATTATCAACAAATTGAGGGAATCTCTTCAGTCCACATTCTGGCTGTCTGATTTGAGATGCTCCTCCACTGACCTGAGTGATAGCACTTTTGTTTGGTTCTCTTCTGTCTGACTTTTCCAACCTCGATCCATGTGTTACTCTTTTCTGCTATTGTCTCCTGAAAATTTATCTTTTCCAAAGTCTCTTCTCATTCCAAGGCTCTTCTTCCTCTATTATGCTTTCTGGGTAACCTCACTCACATATATTGTATTATCCATCACCTATATGCCAGTGAACACCAGATCTTTATATCTTTAGTCCTGACTCTTCTCCTGACAAACCTCAGACTTAAAGCTAAATACTGAGCCCAGAGAAAGAAAGATATCTACTAAGAACGGCTACTGGTGGCAAACTGGGGTCAAATAAAGAAAGCAGAGCCTAGCAGCCATTTCTGCACAGGAGCCTCTCATGCAAATTACACTTCATAAAGAAGCCTGCACTGAACTGCCTGCTTGCATTGTGTTTCTGCCCTCTGAGCCAGCCCTTATAAAGGAGTTCCTATTTTGATCAATAATAGGGCTGAGGCTTTCCCTATCTAATCAGAGCTGCACAGCTCCAGCCAATCAGAGCGGATCTATTCTGACCAATAAGAGCAGTTCTATTCTGACCAATTAGGACAGTGCCTTTTGGACCAATCAAACTGCAGGATTTGGAGTCCTCATTTGTACAAGGGCAGATCCATCAGAGACAGGGCCCCAAACTTCTGCCTATATAAGCCAGCTCTTCTCTGGCTCTGAGAGCGTACTTTCCCTTTCCACCGAAGCCGGGTGACTGCATCTCCCTGGCTGAGATGAAACACAAGATGTCTCACCAGGGCAGAGCTGAGCAGACCAATGCAGCACAGGATGGAATGGCACGGAGCAGTGCACGGCAGACCACCAAGGAGCAGAGCAGCTGTCTAGCTGGAAAGAAGCCTGTGCTGTTTTCACAGCTGTGCAGTTTCACAATTGAGCTGTGTTGCCCTGAATGAAGTTTCATTCTTTACCACAGCCCATACTGGGGATTCCTGTTGGCACTGAACTGGCACCAAGGACCATAGGTTGACAATGCCTCCTGAGTTTCTCTTCTTGGTGCTCCATCATAGGTATTTCTACCTCAAAACATTTCCCAGAAAACGCTTGGCCTTCATCCTGCCCCACTCCCCCTGCCCCTCTTCCTTTTCTCCACAAATCTGTCTTCTCACTATTCACAGACCTGGCTAAGTTCAGGTCCTGGATGCAATCTAAACTCTCCCTTACCTCCACTACCAAACATAGGCCTATTATTTTAAGTTGCCAGATATTTAATTTCTTTCATCCCTTCCATCCCTATGAGTCCTTCCCTACTAGTACACTCACCCATAATATCTCATCTGGACAACTGTAACTGCCTTATCTTTTCTTTCTGCCACTAGCCTTATCCCCTGCACACTCATATCTTCTTAATTTGTAGTGAAGTATCTAAAATGGCAATCTGATCACCTTACTGCCACCACTTAACATAGCTGTCCAGTGGCTCCCCATCATCTGCAAAATGAACTCCATCCACACTTTACTAAATGAGTCTATTTTCCATTAGTCTTATCTTCTTTAACTTCTTCCCTGGTATGTCATAGAACCCGCGCATACATCTTATTATGTACTTATTATCGCTGCACTTATTATTACCTATCTATATATCTGCCTCGCCCACTAGACTATGAAATATTTGAGATGTTATTCACACCTGTCTCCCAAGCACCTAAACACAGTGTTGAGGCCCATAGGCAGAGCTCAGGTTTTGTTGAATGACCAGGTCCCAGGTGCACCGAGAATCTGCACATGCTATTCTTAGACACATGTAATCTTTAATTCAGTCAATAGTACATACACTAAGAAGCAAATATGTCAACTCACAATGCAGGACTTAATTTATAGCAATATTTACAAAGATATTACTAAAAAGGTTACCTTAAGATTCTTCATGACTCTGTAGAATTCCATGGAACACCTTTGGTTTACAGTGAGAAGTTTTTGAATCTCTCTGGTTTGTGGAAATGGAAGTGAAAGGTTTGCTTTTATTTTAATTGAAATCTCTTTTTGGCTTTCAGTCTCCTTCTCCAAGTCATGAGACAATCTATTTAAGAATTCATAATGATTATCCATCTCTGAGTATCTCTTCAGAAGCTCCTAAAGAAAATTAGAATTCATTCAACTTAATAAATGATTCTAATTTAACAATAAATAGTTCTAGCCTTAGAATTGTAACAAAACTTATGCTTTAACATTTTCTGTAGGAGTAATAAATTAAAACTGTTGTGTTTAAAATAAAAAAAGGAAACTGATATTATTGATTTTGGATTATAGAAATAATGTATAATTATTGTGAAAATTAAAAAAATGTAAACAAATATAACAAAGAAACCAAAAAATAACCCTTTTTATCATTTTGATATTTTCTTTTAGTCTTTTGAACATCCATGATGTGAATGAGCATTTACAAAATCTGAAGAGAAATTTGATTGAATTCTATCTAGTATATATTTTAGCTCAAAAATGAGTACTGGCTTATGTGTACAATGGCAGTGTGAGGTAGCAGATAAAACAAGTGACTAAGAATCAAGCTAGCTATTTGCTAGTTTGGTATAGCCTCTTCACACCTTTCTATTTGCCTAGAATCTGAGTTTTCTAACCTTTTATCAGAGTTCAGGTTCTAGCTCTGCCACTTCCTGAGTGGGAAAATCATCGAGACATTTTCTCAACCACAAAATGAAGACTACAATAACAGCCACAAAGTTTCCTAGGAGAATCAAGTAAAATATTTCAAACTATCTATATCTATGTACTCTATAAAATATACACACATTATGTGTTAAAAGAAATAAAATTAAAGTTGTAAAAATGCTTCTATACCCAAATTTTAAACTTAATCAGATTTGGTTTCAAATCCTTATTCTACCAACTTACTAGCCGTGTGACCTTGGAAAACTACTAAACTTCCTCTCTCAACAACTTTGGTTACTTTGTTTATAAATGGAGCAATAAAATCTATTTTATGAGGTAAAGCACCAAATATAGTACCTGGCATGTGGTAGACACTCAGTAAGCCTGGGCCCATATGCTCAAATGACTAGAGGCAATGCAGGCAACTTAGTGGTCTGAGTATAAGTGGAGGAGCACGTTACATTTAAGTTGATAAAATCATGTAATAAATAACCCGTGTAGTTCAGGGTGATAAACAATAGAACGAGGGGCTTCTGACTATAATGAGCTCTCTTTTTCATAATTTAAAGAAAAGCTAGATAGATGTTCATTCATCTGGGATGTTGGCAAGGGGATTCCTGCCTTTGGCCTTGGGATAAATCACATTATGGTACTGAGCAGTCATTCATTCTTACTTGAAATAGATACCTATTGAGAGAAAACAAGGAAATCAAAGAGGAAAAAGAGAAAACAGAAATCAGAGAGAATTAAGAGTGAACAGAGGAAATGGAGACAAAAAGAGAGAATAGAACAGAGGAAACTAAAAAAAGAGAAAAAAACAGAGACCAGAGAGAATAAAGAAAAAAGAACCAAGAAAATCAAGATAACAGAGAGAGAACAAAAAGAAAATACAGGAATAAAGAAAAAAGGAGAAAACAAAAGAGAAATGAGGACAGAGGAAAGGAAAAGAACAAAGAAAAAAAAGAGAAAACAAAAATGACAGAAGAAAACAAAAACAGAACAACAACAAAAAAACCAGAAAAAGTGAAAATACAAAGAAAAAAGAGAACTCAGACAACAAAGATAAAAGAGAGCGGACAACAAAGAAAAAGTAGAGAAGAGAAAGGGAACGAACAAAGAGTAAACAAAGAGACCCAAAACCCAAGAAACAAGGAGAAAAGAGAAAACTGAGAGAACAAAGTAAAAATACAGAAAACAGAAAAACGGAGAACAGAAAAAAATGAAGAAAACAAAGAACAGAGAAAAAAGAGGGAAAAGAGAGAACAAAAGAACCTAAGTGGGAACTTAAAAAACAAAGAAAAAACAAAAAGAGAACAGAGTAAACAGAGAACAACAAAGAAGTGAGAGAACAGAGAAAAAATAAGATAGGTATTGAATGCTGACTTCCATCCACTAGGAATGTGCTAAACACCAGTCTTCACGGATCTTGCATTCTAACAGGGGTGACGGTAAATCTTGTTGGTTTTACCCTCAATATACAGACCAAACATTTCTCACTACTTCCACTGCTACGTCTCTGGGCCAAGCCATCATCTCTCTGCCTGGATTACAAATGGTCTTCCTGCTTCCACTCTGTTTTCAACACAAGAGTCATCCCTTTAAAATGTAAGTCAAATCATGTCTCTCACATGTTCAAAATTCTGCCTGCCTCCTCCCCATTAACTTTCTGACCTCATTTCTAGCTTTCCCCCTTCGTGATGTTCCTGGAACTCATATGGCAGGCTCTCCACAGAAGCTTTGCACTTGTTGTGCCCCCCTGCCTACACTGCTAGTCCTGCAGATAGCTGTATGGCTCAATCCTTCACCTCGTTCAGGTATTTACTCAAATATCATCATTCCAGCGAAGCCTTAAAACCACAAGCCCCCACTGTTTTATGTATGTATATATGTATACATACATGCCTGCACTAGAAAGTTTAGAAACATTGACCACTATCTTTTCATTCCCCAGAGGTTCCTCATAGACCAAAGATTTTCGCCTTTTTCATCTCAAGGCACACATAAGCTAATTACTAAAATTCTACAGCACACCAAAAATATATTTTTTGCCTATCTAACAAGAAAAAAAAAAAGGTATAATTTTGATTCAATCACACTGGATGGCTGTTGTTGTGCTGGCTGTTGTCATATTTTAATTTTACAATCTAAGGGAAAAGAGGTTGGTGCCCCTGACTAAATAGTCAGGTACTGCATGTTTAAAAAATAAAATAAAAAATGGGGGGGTGGGGGAGAGGGAGATCAATTTGTTTTTCCATTCATTGGTTGATTTTTGTATGTGCCCCGATTGGGAATCAAACCTGTAACCTTGGTGTATCGAAACGACGCTTTAATGAACTGAGGTACCTGGCCAGGGCAGGTAGTGCATGTTTTAAAAATTCTTGCGGCATATCGGTTGAAAATTACTGCCATAGACCTTTGAAGGGTACCAATATTCCTTTGTAATTTTAACAGGGAAAACTTACTTTTATCCTAAAGCACTTTTCTCTCAGGCTTGCTGTAAGGTGTTCTTTTTCATCACACAGTAACTCTTTTTCATATTTTACTACCTCTTTGTGGGTCTGTTGGTCCTGCTTTGACACAAAAAAATAAATAAGGCTTCAGCTATAACTAAATTCAAAGGAAATTTCTACTCATACTTTTTAAATTACATATTATATATTAAGTTTCAATCATGGAATTAAATATTACACTTGTAGTTCAAAAGCAATGTTGAAAATGGTAAAAAATGAGTAATAGTACCACTGAGTCTTGTAGTGAGTGATCTCAACTCATTGGGGGGGAATGGGAAAACCATGTACTTTTGGGAACTAGAGTTTGTTCCTATAGTCTTCATAGTTGCAAATTAGGTTTTAGATTTATCTGGTTCCTACTTTTCCAAATTTCTGAATAAGAATCACTGCTGCCAACTAAACATACTAGCAAAAACATCTGTACTATCTAGTGTTCCAAGCCCCACTAATATGTTCTTCCCAGCACCCTGAAACAGAAAACTCGTATCCTATTTACAGTTTGTATTTCTGTATAAAACAAAATTTTCTCCCACTTGTTTATCTTGTTCACAAGAAGACCTAAAAGAATAACCAACTGCTCAATAAAAAACTTGAATGATTTAAATCTCTATAAATTTAGTTAGGGCCAACATAAAGATGATTCCCAAGTGTGTGACATTTTTTGTCTGATATTTCTATTGAGATTACAAATGATATTGTTTCTACTTTATTCTTTATTATTGAACTATGAGAATGAAAAAGGTTTTTTATAGATTTCATATAATTTCTTGTCTGAATTGTTTCTTATTCAATTTAAACAGTCATACTAGAATAACTTCCTTTTTTTGTATTCACCGTGCCTTTTTTACCTTCTAACTTCATTAAGAAGAGCTGACGTCTAAAACTCTATCATGTAGAGGTAGTGAAATGGGGTATTTAATCTTTTACAAATCTAATCGTTCAAATATTTCTCCATTGAGAATAACACTATTTCTTGGTTTTAAAACCCTTTAAAAACCATTTTGACTTTTTTAAAAAAATGTATTTCCTACTTGTGTGGAAAATTATAGTAATAGTTTCCCCATTACCCTTTATTGTTTGCAGACATCTGCAGAAAAACAACAAAACAAACTATTACTCTTTTAAAAAAAGCATGATTTTTACAAATAGTTACTAGATGGGGGAAGATTCTGAACTCACTCTAGCTATCAATTTTCTTAAGGTTTCTCTGAATTGGTCTCTTTCCATTTTGAGAGACTCCTTTATCCTCCTTAGCTCATCTCTTTCCTTAGCTACAATTCTTATTTCTTCAAAGCTTTCATGAAGTTTCTTAGTCAAGTGTAAGTTATCCATTTCTATACTTTGCATAGATAAATTTCGAGTCTCAAATTGCTTCTGCAAATGTTCCATTTCATTCATTTTTTTATGAGTTTTATTGATATCTTCTTTCATTTTAAGAAGGTGAAGCTCTTTTTTTTGAAGTTCTTGGATCTTGAGATAATTATAAAACAAGTTAGAATGAAAACAGAATTCTTTCAAGGAAGGAAACTAGTGTCTATTTGTTATATAGGTACATATATATCTATGTCCACATTTATATCTATATCCACTTACTTCACAAATAATTTTGGACACTCCCCAAAGAACAAAAAACACTTACCTTTTTCTGTAAATCATCTTTTGATTTGCTTAAATCCTTTTGAATATTTGAAATCTGAGTTGTTTTCTCTGAAACTCTTTCTCTGAATTTATCAATCATTTCTTGGTGCTCTTTCAAATGCATACGAGCAATTTTTAGTTCCTGTTGTGTTTCCAGATTCTTTATTATTAGAAGAAATTGAAAAATGAGGATATAAAGAAACATTACCTTTTCCTAATGATGAACTGGTTAAACAAAATCTTACAAAATGCATGCTTATAGTTAAAAATCACCACCATTCTACCACTAAATTAGAACAGTGCAGAGGATATAAAGTAAGAGTTCCTGGGCCAAGCCTCACCCACCCCAGTTCTGCTCCCTGTTGAACTCTGCCACTTACTTTTCACCTTTCACATCATTTGGGCATCCCTCTAAATCAGTATCACATACCCCATTCTTATGGTTAGTATTCCATTACACAGATGAGCCCCACTTAGCCAGTGCCTTATTGGTGGACATTTGGATTGCAATGTTACAGTAAATGCTGCTGTATTTCTGTCCAAATGTGTGGCTATACTGATAAGATAAATTCGTAGAAGTGGAATTGCTATAGCAAATGCATATGCTGATAAATTTTTAGTATGATATTGTCAAACTGTCTTCCTAAAAGATTATATTTACATTTCACCAACAGTATCATTTATTTTCAAAGAAGGCAGCCTCTTGTATTAAAAACATGCTTACTGGATAGAAAGGAGCACAACTCACTCTAGCTGTGGTTTCTTGTAGGTTTGCCTTGAGTTGGTCTCTTTCCAGTTTGAGAGTCTCTTCTACTCTCCTTAGATTATCTCTTTCTTCCAGTACTGATTTCATTTCTTCAAGGTTTTCATGAAGTTTCTGAGCCAAATTTAAGTTCTCCATTTCTATTTTATCCAGAGTTAGACTCTGGGCTTTGAGTTGTTTCTTTAATCGCTCCATTTCAGACATTTTCTTCTGTGTCTCAGTGACATCTTCTTTTAACTTCAAGAGTTGGTGTTCATTTGCCTTAAGTTCTTGGATCTTAAGATGATTATAAAATAACATGTTAAAATACAGATGGTTTTTCAAAGAAAAATAAGCAATAGTTTCTAAATTGATTTAGACAAGTTTTCCCATGTCACTCTTACAAATACTCTACATAACTCCACACAGAAATTATTTTCTTTTGAGGTTATAATATACATAAATGTTGTTCTTAAGTGTATAGCTCAATTATTCTTAACATGTGTATATATCTATGTACCAAAACCCCATAAATTTCCTGTATATCCCATTCTATAACCATTATTCTGACTTTTCTCATCCTAGATGAGTTTTGCCTGCTTTTGATCTTATAAATCACAATATATTTATCCACTCTCCTGTTGATAGGCATTTGAGTTGTTTTCAGTTTTTCGCTATTATGATTAGAACTACTATGAACATTCTTGTACATATCTGTATGTTGAAGCACGCACTCTTTTCTCTTAGGTACATACACAAGGAGTAGAAATACTGGGCCACAGACAGTTATCTGTTTAGTGTTAGTAAAAGTTGCCAAGCTGTTTTCCAATGTGGCTAAACCATCTTACATCCCCAGTAGATTTTAGGCACAAATAAACCAGATATCTAATCAAAGCTCACCCCCCCCATATATATCTTGTAATATAGTGTTTAAATTTTCTAAAGCCATTTGTATATTTCATCTGTCTTCTCAGAAACAAACCCTCTGAGTTCAATAGTTTCCTGGTTCTTCTTCAGATGCATGTGAGCAATTCTTAGTTCCTCTTTTTTTCCAGATTTTTTATCATTAGAGAAATTTTAAGAACAGTGACATATGGTAATGTTAACTAGTAATTTTTTAATGAAAGTGATGTTTTCTTAGTAAAAAGAATAAAGCTAAACCTTCTTACTTTAACTAATATTTTTTAATGAAAGTAATATATTTTCTTAGTAAAAATAACACAACTATTACTTCTTACTCTACATTTTTGTTAGAAAGTTAAAAGCTTTTCCCTCTCCTGTCCTCCCCTCCTCATAACCTCTACTTTCCAGAGGCAAACACATTATTTACATACCATTCCACAGCTTGCTTTTCCTACTAAGAGTTATTTTGGGATTCCAAATTAAATCTATGTAAATTTTTTTTTTTTTTTTTTTTAACCTGTTGTATAGCATTCTGACATATTGCTCATCTTTACCCAGTTTCCTTCTGATGGACATTTTGGTTGTTTCCCATTTTTTTTATTACAAACGGTTACAATGAACAACAATGTGGTTTATGTGTGTGTTTGGGTATGTCTATATCAAAGAAGGATTCACTGCTGTCAGAAAACACATTTCCTCACTAGGAAGGGGTATGATTGTAACTTACTTTAGCTTCAGTTTCTATGAGGCTTTCTCTGAGCTGGTCTCTCTCCATTTTCAGGGTTCCCTCCATTCTTCTTAGGCTATCTCTTTCCTTGGTAACACATTTTATTTCTTCAAGGTTTTCATGAAGTTTCTGAGTCAACCTTAACTTCTCTGTTTCTATACTTTCCAAGATTGAATTCTGGGCCTCCAACTGCTTCTTCAGCTGCTCTGTTTGATACATATTTTCCCTGAGATCATTTTTTACCGTAAGAAGTTGATGTTCTTTCTCCTGAACTTCTTGGATCTTGAAATAATTACACAATAAATTAAGATATAAACAGATACTGATAAAAAGCTAAACAATAGTTTCTAAATTATCTAGACAAACCTCTACATGTCCACAATTTTAGGATGACTCATATCCTATTTCATTACACAAAAGACTTCATTCAAACTGTCACTTAGGTAACAACTTAAAAGAAATACCTGTGCTTTTAAGGCACTATTTTTGTTTTCTAAATCCATTTGCATATTTGATATTTCATCTGTCTTCTCAGAAACAATCTTTTTGAGTTCATCAATAATTCCCTGATGCTCCTTCAGATGTATGTGAGCAATTCTTAGTTCCTCTTGTTTTTCCAGGTCCTTCATTATTAGAGAAAGAAAAATACATTCAGAGTAACACACTTCAAACCATATGTGCAAAAGAACAGGGTAAGAAGTAAAAATTCCCCTCCCTCCTTACACCTCCTAGTGCTCATCCTATAATTGACTCTCAGATGTTAATACAGGCTAGATATACAACTCTACAATTTCGCCTTTCCCTACCAGGATACTTCCAAGTCAGCACCATAACTCTACCTCATTCTTTATCTGTGTCTTCTTATTCCACGGTCTGAATGTGCTGCACTTATTAACCAGTCTCCTAACACTATACAGTTAGAACTTTCCCTATTTTTTGTTTGCTTTATTTTGTTATTGCAGCTTGCTGCAATGAATATCCTTCTACAAATATATTTGCACAGTTGTGCTAATGTGTGCAGGATAAACAGCTACAATTGAACTTTTCAGGTAAATGAATAAACTTACTAAAATATTTGGAAGATATTACCAAATACACTCCCCCTTCCTCTTTCAACCTTCCCCAAGGCTGGTAACTCACTCTAATTACAGTTTCTCTTAAGTTTTCCTTGAGCTGATCTCTCTCTACTTTGAGAGTCTCTTCCACACTCCTAAGGTCATCTCTTTCTTTTGAAACAGATCTCATTTCTTCAAGGCTGTCATGGAGTCTCTCAGTTAACCTTATGTTCCTCATTTCTAGGTTTTCCAGAGTTGACTTTTGGGTTTCAAGTTGTTTCTTCAAGTATTCCATTTCACACATTTTCTCCTGAGTCTCATCTACAGCTTTCATCTTAAGAAGCTGATGTTCTTTTTCCTGAAATTCTTGAATCTGAGAAAATCATAAAGCAAGTTAGGGCACAGGCAGAGTTTTTAGGAAAAAGGAGGTTTTCCAATCTAACAAGACCTACCTTTCCCCATAACTCAGCATCTGAATTTTCTAAATCTCTCTGAACATTTGCTCCTTGATCTATCTTCTCCGAAATAGTCCTTGTACTAATAGTTTCTTGGTGCTCCTTCAGAAGACTGTAAGCAGTTTTAAGTTCCTCTTTGACTTTCTGTCCCTTTATGATTGGAGCAAAATGAATAAACCTTAATAGTAAGCATCATTACCACCTCAACAATATTTTTGTATCCAAAAATATCAGAAGATGGAAACTTACTTCAGCTACAATTTCTTTAATGTTTTCTTTGAGTTGGTCTCTCTCCATTTGAAGGGTCTCTTGCACCCTCTTCAGTTCATCTCTTTCTTTAATTATAATTTTTATTTCTTCTTCACTCTTCTGAAGTCTCTCAGTTAACTCAAGCTTCTCGCTTTCTATGCTTTCTAATAACAAACCTTTGGCTTTGAGTTGTTCCTTTAATTGTTCCAGTTCACTCAGTTTTTCTTGAGTCTCACTAATTTCTTTGACACAAATAAATTGTTCCTGTTTTTCATGGAGCTCTTGCATCTTAAAATAATGATAAATTAATAGCCAAAAAATATACACACATTACTTTAGGTAAAAAAACCAGTATGTTCTCTAAAACAATTTAGTATGCAAACAGGAAGAATTATTTATAATTCAGTTAGCTACTTCCCTCAGGTTTCCCCCCCCACTGTTCCTTTATCCCCATTTACCTTTTTCTGTAATTCATCATTGGTTGTTTCTAATTCCTTTTGAAAGCTTGATAGTTCAGTTTCTCTCTCTGAAAGATTCATTCTTAGCTTATCAATAGTTTCCTCCTGTTCTTCCAGGCGACAATGAGCAACTTCAAGTTCCTCTTTGGTTTCTTGGTGCTTTATTAATAGAGAAATTGTAAAAAATTTATAGAAACATAATAACCATTGCACTCTAATTCTTTTTTCCAAAGGTTTAGTTTCTACAAAAATATCTGATTACAAATTACTTAAAAAACACACATACATACATGGGGGAAAGAATGTAACCTACTTTAGCCAAGATTTCTCTCATGTTTTCTTTGAGTTGGTCACTTTCAGACTGAAGAACCTCCTGCAGCCTCTGTAGGTCATCTCTCTCCTTTGCTGTAGATTTCACCTCCTCATGACTTTCTTGAAGCCTCTCAGACAACCTGAGCTTTTCCATTTCTAATCTCAACAGTGCCGACTCTTTATATTTGAGTTCCTCCTTCAGTTGTTCCATCTCACTGATTATTTTCTTAGTCTCACTGTCTTTTTCCTGTAGATCAAAGGACTGCTCTTGTATATCTTGAGCCTCTTCGATCTTAAGAGAATCATAAAATATATTTGATATCCAAAGACACTTTATTTTAGGGGAAAAGAAATCAGGATACTTTCTAAAAAATTAAGCCAGGATTTAATGGTTCATTTACAGAGCAATCTTCCCACTTCCCTACTTTTCCATTTTTCAGGTATTTAGCACTTCTTTATTGAGGGCTCGCTGTGATGTCAGTGTATTATTGGAGGCTGGAGATAAAACAGGAAATGAGAATTACAGGATCTCTGCCTTTTTGAGACACTTTAGGGGGAAAGTAGATATATGTCAAATCTCACCAAACAGAACTACTGGGTTCTCCTAGGGTATTAGTGGCAAACCTAACCCACAGTGAGTGGTTAGGAAGGAGGGAGGGGTAGGTATGGTAATACTGTAGGTAGGGAGACCAGAACATCTGAAAGCCATGAGATGAGGAAGAGCAATAGACTAGAGTTGCTGGAGCATGATGAGCAGGAGAAGGAGAGAAGTGAAATAACACTAGAGACCAGTAGGTCTGGAATCCAGGGTTTCCTAGACCTCGCAAAGGACTCTGGTCTTGATGTCAAGTAACGTTTCGCTATTAAAGGATTTTAAGAAGAAAAGATTGCCTAGGCTCAGAATGAAAAATCAATTAGAGAAGTATAAGAATGAATGTGGGAAGATCAGTTAGGCTATTGCAGAAAGCCAGGGAAAGAAATAATGGTGGCTTGGATTACAGTGCTGGTGATTTAGAGAGAAAAGTGGGAGGATTTCATACATACATACCTCAAAATACATAAAGTTTGGGGTTTGGATTATAGAGTGAGTTGGGAGGGAGAGATGGTAGTTGGGTGATCCCCAGATTTCTGACCGAATCAATGAGGAATAGAAGTGCCTTATGAGATGCTGAAGGAACAGATTTAGGGAAGGAACAAAAATAAAGGTGTTTTTGTTTTCAGCCTTTTCTATATACTATAGAATTGCTTTTTCTAAATAATTCTGAATATTTAAGAAAAAAGCTATCATCTCTGAAACTCATTTTCAATACTTTTAAGTATTTATAAGCAATTTTTAGTTCTGTTTCCAAATACTTCATTACGGGCTGATTTTTTTGTTTTGTTGTTGAAGCCCTAACTCCCAACTGGAGACAGGGCATTTAAAGAGGGTAATTAAGGTTAAATGAAGTCACAAGGGTGGGACCTTATCCCCTAGGGCTGGTGTCCTTTAAGAAAAGGAGGATATAGCAGACACTTTCTCAGCTCAAGTGCACAGAAGAAAGGTCTCGTGAAGACACAGAAAAAAGACCATCTACATTCCAGAAAGAGAGGCTTCTCCAGAAACAGAATTTTTAAGTGCCTTAATCTTGGCCTTCTAGACTCTACAACTAGGAGAAAATAAATAATAAATTTCTGTTGTTTTAGCCACCTAGTCTATGATATTTTCTTATGGCAGCCTTAGCGTACTATAATATACCTCCCTTAAAAAAATGATCATTAGCATCCTAGCCTTTCTTGTGTATTAAATAAGCAGTAAAGCAGTTATTCTCTTAAGGTCTCAGGAAAAAATGAACCGTATTACCTAGAATGAATTAAGGTAGGATTTAAACACCTAATAGTAAAATTATGGCCGAAGACCTAGAAACAGACATAAGTAGGATACACACATTGATTTTATTGTGAACTCTATAAACAAGTTTAGTATACAAAATCTGATGTAAAATAAGTATTTTGGCCATAATAATAAGCACTGAATCTTTCTTATATCCCTAAAGTTCAGAATGGCTTTTTAAAGATGTTTAAAGAATATCAACCCTCTGAAAATATCAGCTCAAAGTTTGAACTAAATTTTTTTGTCTTTTTTCAAATTGATTGTAAGCAGTTATATTTGAAGTTATTTAAAAGATATTAGGGTGAAGTTTATGAATTACTGTTAGTTATTACCACTGTAATAAGTAAGACTGAGGTTAAGGAGAAAGCTCATATATAAATATATGAAAATTTTGAACAGAAACTCTTTACCTCTTCCTGAAATTCATCCTCAGTTTCTCTTATGTTTTCCTCTATATTCAAATTCTTGGAGCTTTCCTCAGAAACTTTCATTTTTAGCATGTTAATAGTTTCTTGGTGTTGTTTCAAGGACTCAAGAGCATTTCGTAACTGTTCTTGGGTATCTATATTCTTTGTCAGAGAAATACAATACCATTTCCATTAGAATAAGGAGAAACGGTGAAAATAATTTTATAGTTTCTACTTGATCATAAGTAATAAATGATGGCTCCTATAATGTTTTCAAAGATGCTCTGAGTTTTCAACGTCTAATCAGTTAAAATCTTACCATGTTTACAGTATCCTCAATGTCACTTCTGAGTTGGTCTCTCTCAATTTGCAGGCTCTCCTGGAGTTGTCTTAAGTCTTCCTTTTCTTGGGTTAAGGTTCTTACTTCTTCTAAGGTTTGGTGAAGCTTCTCAGTAGTCAGTATTTTCTCCCTTTCTATTGTTTGCAGCCTAAAATCTCTACTTTCTAATTGTTCCTTCAGCTCTTCCGCTTCATTTAACCTTTCTTGACTCTGCTGAAGTTCTTGGGTTTTGTGAGAAAGCTTTAAAATAAGAAAGTGAATGTGAAAAGCAGAATATTCTATGGCATACACATGGAAGCCAAACCCCAGAACACTAAAGATGATTTCCCTAGAAGGTATCTTATACCAACCTCTGTCTTTAAAGCATTCAAACTTAAGCTGAGTTTTTGAGATTCTTCAGAGAGATTTTCTATTTCCTGATTTACTCTTGCATTCTCTTCAAGGAGCTTATTATAGTTTTGCTCCAATTCAATATGACAATTTTTAAAATCTTGGAATTCTTGATCCATGTTTTTATAATTCATCTGGGTAGTTGCTAGGTCATCTTTAGTTTTTTCAATTTCTTCAAGTAAATCTTGAATTCTACTCTCCTTATGAACTACTTCAGAAGACAATTTGTCTTTTTCTGATGTTATTAGATATAGCTCTTCAGATTTATCATTTATCTAAGAAAAAATCAATACTCAGCTATGTTAACAACGTATGATCTACTGAAGCAGTTTTCAGAAAACAAAACAAAAAAACCTTTTTCTGCAAAAAGAAAGACAATGAAACTAAGCAAATATTTGACTGAAAAAAGGCAGTATTTTTATTATTTCTTTAACAGTATATTTTCTTGTTTAACTTTATCATCAAAATGAGAGTTATTTGCTTAAAAATTTGTTTACCTCTTTCCTTAGCATTTCTACTTCTGAAGGTAAAGATTTCAATTCTGAGAGCAAATTAACTTTTTCATGCAAAGTTTTATTTACTTCAACTTCTTTCTTCAGTTCTTTCTGGAGATCTGTGATCTTTCGTTCCAATTCCAAATTACAGAGCAAATCTATGAAAATTTTGGTAAATTAAACAGCTCGCAGTTATTGAGTCAATTTAAACTACATATAAATTTTTGATCAGATTATATAAAATTTATTTTAAAAAGAGGCAAAGTTGATAAACAACTAATGTAATTGTGACTACGTAGTTAAAAAGTTTCAGATATACAACATTATAATTTGATATCTGTATAGACTACAAAGTGATTATCCCCAAAAGTCTATCCATCACCATACATGGTAATAGTTCTTGAATCACCTTTTTCAAAATCAGGTACAATTTTTAACTCTTAAGATCTGAAGTCCATAGAAACTGGCACAAATAATGAAAGTTGAATGTTGTTGCAAAATCCTTAGGAACATTTCTACAGAAAGTCAGATTTGCAAAGAGGTAGTCTAATATTACAAAATACCTTTTGGAACTTTGCCGTCTATAAGGGAGGTGAGTTGTGTTATTTCATTAAAAGAATATTGTAATTCTTTCTCCAGATCAACTTGTACTTTCTTTTGTGCCGCCAACCGGCTTTGATATAATTGATTATCATTTTCCATTTGCTTGCATATACTTTCAAGTTCATTCTATTGAGAGAAACACTGCAAATTCACAAAAATGTACTGATCATTACAAACGCTTGATTATAAATATTGCAAAAATCACTTACCAATTTCTCTTTCAGCTCTAGATTTTCACTCCTAAGAAAGGCTGATTCTCTCTTGGCATCAAGGGCTATAATTTCAGCATCAAGCTGAGTTTGTTTTTTTTGTTTTAGGTCTTCAGTGTCTTCCTATACACATGACAAAAAGAATTTAGTAAAATCTAACATTCTCAGATTGGAAAATGTTAACACACTTTTGTTCAGCTAGCATGGTCAAGTTCTCTATGGATTTTAAGTTATTTTCTCCAAAACATGACAGGCAAGTAAAGTTAAGAATATTAAACCAGCCTTGGCAGGGTGGCTCAGGTGGTTGGAGCATCAGACCGTACACCAAAAGGTTGAGGTTCAATTCCGTCAGGGCATATACCTAAGGTGTGGGTTCGATCCCTTGTTGGGACGCATACAGGAGGCAATGGGTCGATGTTTCTCTCTTTCTCTTTTCCTCTCTCTCTCCTTCTTCTTCTCTCTAAACATATCCTCAGGTGATGATTATTTAAAAAAAATTAAATCACATATTTAAAAGAAAATTATCCCATAGAAAAAGAAAGAAAAGATATAAATAGGTAACTCAGTGAAGAGAAAATGCAAATGACCTATAAATATATGAAAAAAATCAGAAGTCTCATGTTTAGAGAGAAGTAGCATTTTAACATGACTTTAGCTTACATAAATTCAAACATATGTCCGTGGCAAAATATTAATGCATGATTGAATGAATAAAATGAATAAAGAGTAAGAAATAAACAATTTTTAAAAAGTGGACAATTCTGCTTGCTACTCTATTAATCCTATTCTCCAGGATTACATGAAAGCACCTTTCTTACCCAGGGATCAGAACAGTGAGAATACTTTTAAAAAGGATGAATTGTCATTAACAGGAGGTAACAAAAAAGTACTAATAGGAGGTAATAGAGTACTCTGAAAAACTCAAATAGAGCAGAAACTAATATTTAAAAAATTCAAGCTAGAAACTGTTACCTTTTTATAAAGGGTGCTAAAAAACTAGAATCAAACTGATACTATTGTCTGTGTCCATGGGTTATACATGTAAGTTCTTTGGTTAACATGTTCCCACCCTCCACCCCTCTTCCCTCTGAGATTTGCCAGCCTTTCCTGAAGTAATCAGGCAGATTGATAGCAAATAGAAAAAAATAAATCAATAATTTCACCATGAGATTCAATGTTACTTAATGCCACAATCTTGTACAAGCTAATCTAGAACAACAGCTTCTAAAAACTACTTCAAACTTTCAAAAATAGTTGCTGAAATTATAATGAGAATGCATTAATATCATGAAATTAATGACATTTATGAAAACAAACTCAATTACATGTTTTAGAGTTCTAGATTCTTGACAACATAAGTGCTTACCTGAAGATACTGACTATGCACTTATGCATGCATTTGTATAAACCACTGAAGAATGAAAAAGTTTTTTAATTACTAATTTTTAATGGAAACTCATCACTAACTTATTTACATTTCACTCAAAGGATAATATCCTCAACTCTCTATGAATGGTTCTTTATCGGTAAAAATGGCAATGTTCGTAATATAGTCCCTCTCTCACAGGGTTATTGACAAGATAAAATAAAACACTATATGTAAAACAAGACAATGCCCAGCACATAGTTGGCTCAATATAAGCATCTGCTATGATGATGATGGCATACTATAAATATTAATATGATTACACAACAAAATAAACCTGATTTTTACCGATGAGTATGACAAGTCCATTTTCACACTTTCTGAATTCTGAGAGTCTGCATGTTTCTGCAGCTTCTTAATCTGGTCTTCCTTTTGTCTAAGCAGCTCTACTTTTGAACTTAGTTCATTCTAAAAGAATCAAAGGAGAGTAAAACAATTTAACTGGATTTGAATGCTAAGGGATTAAAAAGAACTTATATTTAGCAGTTTAAATTGGTAGATAGTAAAATTGATATAGTTATCATTTAAAAGTGTAATTTCTTTTATTTTCTGAAATCATGTTCAACTACATGATTTGTTTTATAGTTCTAGTTCCTTATCAGTAAAAATACCAACATAAATGCTCACCTCAAGATCTTGATTATACACTTCTGCATGCTTAACTAAATTCTTTAAGTTCGTAATTTCATGAATTAGTTGCATCTGTAAAAGCATGTGAACAGGCAACAGAGCAAACCAATAGTTAATAAAGCAAAAAATTAAAAAAAAATTATTGAATCACTTCAGAATCACTCCACACAGTAAGAAGGGACAGAGAGATCAATTGTTTGAGCTACTGTAACAGAGCACATCATTATTTAAAAGTACAAAACAGCCCCAAATCCAACACCAAGCCCAACCACCAAAACTAAAAATCTGCAAACCCCAGGAAGCAAGCAAACAAGAAAAATATCTCAGCATGACCCAAATAGCAGATTTGTCATCTGTTAATAAAGCTACAATAACTTAAAAAGCAAATTAGTATGCACTACTTGGAGGAGATAAAGTCGTAATCAAACTTAGAAAAAATATACTTCTAATTAATAGACTCCTGTTTTAGGTAAGTACAGAAATGTATTTATCCTAAAAAAATTTTTTTCTTCCCAATAAATTATCCATTTAGCTTTATACTGGCATACTTTTTAATGAGTTGTGATTTGAAATTTAGGTTTGGATTAGGGTAGTTTCATGGTGCCTTTACAATATTACTGATTACCAAAGCTACAGAGATTTGTATGGGATTATCAACTATTACCTTGACAGTTTATTCTATGGGAAATATTGGAAAGTTAACGTTCTTGCTTTATATTGTTCAACTGTCTAAAATACAAACACTTAAAGATACAAGTATGTTTATTAAAGTTTCCTTTCTATCATGATATCTGTAATAAAAAGTGAAAAGAAATGGGGAGAATTAATTTTAATATATTTTATCTAGCCAAATATATCCAAAATATTATCATTTCTTCATATAATCTATAATAGAAATTCAGAAAATATTTTAAATTATTTTTTTCATATTTAAATCAATTCAGACTGATCCCATTTCAAGTGCTCAATTGCCACATGTGATTAGTGGCTGCCCTCTTGTTCAGCAAAGTTTTAGAGATCTGTATTGGTTATAACTTTAATTTGCTCTATCTTTTACCTTTGCTTTTGTTTCTAACTTTTGTGCAACAAAATCACATTTAATGATAAGGAACTAAATAACCAATCTTAATTTTTGAAAGCATTCAGAAAGAATAATTCTCCCATTTTTATTTGAAACAGTACTTCATTTTAAGTATTGGAAACAGGGAAAGATTAAGTGATTTTTGTAATGATCTGAGTGTGACCGATCAATGATGTACTGTTTAATGAGCACAAAGATAAAATGTACAATATGATTAAAAGATCATCGATGATTACATAGAAAATACTGTAGATTTCAACTGTAACTTGCAGCAGGTGAAACGAAATGTAACTTTAAGACAAAAATCTCCAATGTGTGAAAATCATAAAAATTAAAAAGATCAAAATAGGTAGAGGGTTGAAATTTCTCTTGTTCTCTGAGCATGATACTTGACCTCCCTCTAAAATTACTGTTTAAACACCCTATATTATTATATTCCCACTTGAAAATTATCCATAACTTTGGTGATTTTTGATGAAACCCTTAGGCAATCCAGGGCACATATCCTCGGGCCATAATATGGCTTTCACTCCTTTTTTGTTAAACTTTTCCCCCAAATGTACATTTTGGAACATATTTTACTGTATACACAGACTTATGTTTTTAATTTAACATGGAATGGATATTATAAAATGGTCTTTGAATAGAATAAGTTTTTATTATTTAATCTTTTAGGTTATCTTTTAGAACTGAGAATTTTAATTTGTGTTCAAGTAAAACTGAAGTGAACAGTATTATTTTCCTCTCTGACAGTGATTAAAAGGAAAAAAAAATTGGGTTGTAAGTTTCAAGTCACAGATTCTGTGTTATTTTGTAATCTTTTTGTGTGTGCTTCAATTTTTATTAATTGAATGTATAAATGATATAAAAAAATTAGAGAAATTATTGTTACATGTATGCCCAAAGTTAATTTTATGTCATGTAACAAGAAATATGCAAAAAAATTAGATGAAATTTTGGAGTTAGAAAGGACCTCGGTAAGCACCTGACTTAACCTCAAGGATGGAGATATACATGAAGTAAGCCCTGAAAGATTCAATAACTTGCTCAAGACCTTGCCAGTAATACACACCAGGCTTGAATCTGTGAGCTAGTCAGCAGCAAAACTGGGGCTCAAATCCTGGTAGTTTGGCCGTTAACCATGACACTAGACTATACCCTCTCACTAAAGCTGGTTTTATTGATTGAAGTCCAATATTCTTTGCATGACATTTTGCATTTTGTTTATATGCAAATTTTAAAACAAGTTAAATGAAACTCTGGAGAAGTCACTGACTTTTGCCTCCCAGGATATAATTCCTGTGAAATGTAGGTGTCACTTTAATTTGTAGGTACAATGGAAATAGTAGTTTTGGTAAAGAATTATTTTTTTCCTTTAAAAAGGTAAAGAGGGTGAGGAACTAAACAATGATACTGAGGAAAAAGGACTGTGTCCCTTGGGACTATCCATATAGAAATCTAAGAAGTATCTGCAAAGTAATTAATACTTTACAACAAAACACTGGCTCTTATTTTTCTGAGGATTCATGGATCACTTCACAAGCCTGATACTAGCTATGGATTCTTGTTCCAGAAAAATGATTATGCATTCAAAAATTCCGCAAAAGAGCCCTAGCCAGTTTGGCTCAGTGGTTAGTGTTGGCCCGTGGACTGAAGGGTCCCTGGTTCAATTCCGGCCAAGGGCATGTACCTCGGTTGCAGGCTTGATCCCTGGCCAGGTAGGGTTGGGGTGTGTGCAGGAGGCAACTGATCAATGTGTCTCTCTCACATTGATGCTTCTCTCTCTCTCCCCCTCCCTCTCTCTGTAAAGCAATGGAAAAAAAAAAAAAAATTCCGCAAAAGAATTCATAGTGTTTGTGAAATTAATGACCCTCTGCACTAAGAAATTTAAGTCCCCAAAGTTTCATGGTTGGCTGTTTTAATATGTAGCCTAATATTATATACTTAGAAAATTTAAGTGATGTTTTATTTCTAAAAATTCCATTAAAACTATTTAGTATTAGTTATGCTAATCTCCACAGTAACTCTCTTATATGGAAAAAGAAATGTGCAAAGTTAGCTTTCTAATAATGTTCTATTTAGGAATATAGTTTCTATGGAAAACAAATTCCATTCATATGTAGTATCCATACATAAAACATTCAGCTAGATATTAAAACTTCTTCAATACAAATCCATCAATAGGGAGATTCACTAAACCTTCCCAAAGATGTTTTTAATTCGTTCTTCTTGTGCATAAGCACAAGTGAAACAAATATGATTTAACTATTTTAAAAACAATATAAATGAATTATTTCTTAAATTTTCTAAATTGTGTATGTATGTAGAAAATGGCTGGCTCCTCAATCTCAACCTTACAAATAAATATCTTTAAGAGAACGATACTTTGTACAAGTGTTGTTTTAGTTTAGTTTCATGTTTCTGTATCCTTACCTCTTGATCTTTTTCTGCTTTTCTTTCTAGGGCCTCAAATTCGTCCAAGTCATTCTTTTCTTTTAATTTCAATTCCATTTCTTCCTTTTCTTTTCTTAGTTTTTCATTGTCTAATACCAGATTATCATAATCAGCACGAAGTGAATTCAACTCGCTTTCTAAATTTTCCTATTGTAAACAAAACCAGATTTTCAAGCTGGAGAGAATTCAGACCATGTTTGTTTCCTCAACTAAAATTTGGATTAGTCAAATAATTTAACCTTGAATCATTTGGCAGTTTAGGCCATTCTCTTTTTCAACAGCATCCAAATGGTTTAGCTTGATCCACAGTAATACAAAGGGTTTGCATTTTGGTAAACTAGCTAACTTAGAATAGAAGACTATTTTTAAAAGGGTAGAATAAAAAATAATAAAAAAAGTTCAGATAAACAAATGATCTGCCTGTGTCTGATTGGAAAAGTATGGTCAGGAGTAGGATGTAGGATACATAATGGAAAGTCCATTTCACCACAGATTCTTAAACTCATTAGGAATAAAGCTGATGGTTTACTTCAACTGTCTGATTCCTATTTTATTTTTCAGATGGCTCTGAATTTAGGAAGTGAAACAGAGGTATTACTTAATGATCTCTAAAACTAACGGTTGCTAGGTTTTTTACCATCCTCAGTAGAGACCTGCTTCTGTTTTCTATACTATTAAGAGAAAGAGAAAAATTATGAGTTAAAAAAAAATCCAAACAAAAACCAAAAACTAACACCAGGGATTTTACAAAAACAACAAACTTCTGGAGTATGCTTTAGGGACACCAAAGCACTTTACCAATAATACTTAACTAATTATAACTAATTACAGTGGTTAGCTAATAAAAAGTCCTAAGAATAGCTGCAATTTTGTTCCACAATGAAAATAAAATTTTCTTTAACAAATACATATACAGAACTATATCCCCCGAATATGTATACACACACTTCAAATAATTATAAAAGCAGTGTTTATTAAAATACATTTCATTTTCAAAATCAAGCTATCAGCTGTTAAAGCATATATACATTTTTTGGGGGACACCCTGTATATTTCTTTGAACATTAGCAGGCTAGAAAGTAAATATGGAATTTACATTTACTAAATAAGGTATTCACTACTCCTTATTCCAAAGTTGTGATAAGACCACATATAATACATTTACTTTTATTTTTCATTATTATTTAGCAATATTACCCCTCCTGATGTATCATTATACTATATGCCTGATAATTTTGACTCTTTTAATATCAGTCCTTTTTTACCCTCAGGGGATTTTCCAAGGCAAAACAGGGAAAATAAATCACAGATACCAAGATCTGCTGGTAATGAACTGAATAATTTTACCTACTACCATACACCTGTTTTATTAAGTTTTTAGCTTCCCTCTGGAGGCACAGTTATCAACTGGGAGTCTAACAAGTGGAGAAGCCTTAATTAGAACCAATGCTATTACTGAAATTAAGTCAGAGTAATGTGCTACAACAACAGTAAATACCAATAACAAATGAATTTTAAAAAGAGTAAGAGGAAAATGTTTTGTAAAATACATTTAAGTTACCTGATTTAGTAGCTTTGTTGCTGGATTCCACTCTATGTCAGTTACTGTATCAAAGGTGTTACTGAAAACATCAGCCTCTGAATAGACAGCTATAATTAGGGGGAAAAGAATTTATCAATAAATATGCTAGTGAGTTTTCTAAAACTCAAAGTAAAGGTTATTTAAAAACTTCTGATCCAATGTAATAAGATCAAATTATTATGTGCTCATAGTATGAATGACAAGAATACATTAACAACAGATGTGATTGTTTATACTGTTTTGTGAATTAAGATCACTGGCTAGAATTAGTGATAAAATATAGGATCCTTAATAATACAATATAGGTAAAAAGAACAAATTCTAAATTTGAGATTTGACTACTATAAGTAGTTTTTAAAATGCTCCTAAAAATACATAAAATGTTGAACATAATTTTAAAAGTTTTCTGTTCAAATTCCACCTTTTCAAGATTAGCAAAATTTAAGGCAGGTATTACATGAATACTAGCTTAATTGGATGACTACAACAAAAACAAACAAAAATATCTGCCTTATGTGTTTTAATGACATTGTATCATTCTTATGAAATGTGGAAGTAGAAAGCTTCAGGAATGTTCACTTTCTTGTTTATTTTTATCATTTTCTCCATTGTAATTACGTCTAAAATACATATTTTATTTAAATGTGTTTGCACATTAACTGAGTTATAAGCAACTCAGTTATATATTAACTGAGTTATAAGTAGTCTCCCATTATAGGGATACTTTTATAATTAAAAGTAGTTGAAAAAGCACTCACATTCATCAATTTCTCCTACTGAAGCTGCAGCAGTCTTATGTCTTTTTGTTCTATTTGTTGGCATATTAAATTCATTTACATAGTTTGAGTCCTTCATTTTGTTAATTTTGCCAGGACACCAAGTGACTCTTCGCTTAATTTTAGCCTAAAGAAGAAAAAATAAAAATTACTTCACCCAGGTAATAAAACAAAGAAACTAGTTTCCATTTTTTAAAATGACTGACTTGGTAGAATTCTTATTAAGCCTAGTTTAAGATCTTATGTCTAAGGACATACTTAGACAAGAAAAGATACTCAAACTTTTCAAATCAGTGATTAACCCCATAATAAATTTGATGAAACTATTTTAATATATATATTTTTAATTTAAGTTGAATCTTTACTTACAAGCCTCTCTGGGGCTTAATTGAAAGAAATTGGTTAACTCACAATCCTTAAAGTAATGTGGTGTTATTGAACGGCCAGCTGCAGCTCCACCATCATAGCTACCAAAAGCACCTTTGGGAAACCAGCTTGAAGTGGGAAGGAGCAGACATGTAGCCCATGTTAATTTCCTTCAGCAGTTAAATTTTTCACTGGGCCCTTCACAATGACAATTCTCTTCCAATTTGGTAAAGCTAATGCCTTCCACTGGTGTTCCTGATCTCATTTTATTCCTGTCTCCCTTGGGACCCTGGCTCCATCAGTGATCTGTTCATCTGTCCTTTTCACTAGGTTCCTTTCTCTCAGCTTTAGGAATGCTCAAGCCTCTGTTTGCTTTTGATAAAAAAACCAACAGAAAAACCAACAAAAAACTCTTGACTCTACTTCTCTCTGGCTACCATTCTCTTTTAGTTTCTACATTGTTTTCTTCCTGTCTCCTGATTTTCTCCCACTCAGCTAGCTGTCCTCACCACTCACTCCACTTCGCTGGTTTCTCTTCCTCTGCCCCACTCCTGTTTGTGTTTTTCCATGAATCATAGATACCACTCTTCTCTTGTCCCTTTACTAGTACAAGCACTATATCATCATATTTGATTCTCTCAGCAATCCTCTATTACCACATCCATTTTATAGAGAAGCTAGGGGTCCAAAAAGTTTGGAGAAGTTGTGTGCAATCTTACATCCAACTGATGACTAAGCCCATTGAATTCTACCAAGTCAATCATTTTAAAAAATGGAAACTAGTTCCCTTGTTTCCATTAGGCTCTGTAACTTCACAGCCTATACACTAACCACTCCACTGCATTGCCTCTCAACATTTTCTGTATAATACAGATATTTGTGTAATGCAGATATATACATTTGTAAAACTGCATGCTTTCATGCTCCTACCACATAATACCTTTTTGCTTGAAATTGACAGCCCTTTCCACAGCCTGCTCTGCAAAAGCCCAGTCATAAAAATCCTTGACGCCAATGACCTTCAGCTCAGCTCCATTCTCTCCCAAATCCGCTCCTGGACCTTGTCATTATCTGAAACTCATAAACCTAGACTTCCTGCTCTATCTAAAGTTTCTACCCTTCCATCTCACTGATTCAGTCAATTCCATTTTGGCTATTAAGCTTAAGAGGGACTTCTAGTCCCTTGATCCACTAGTTTCTTCTTGCCAGCTCCTTTTTGGGTCTCATCCCATCATCTCAGATTACATAGATGATCACCTGAATCATGTTTTTGGGTCAACAACCTCAAGTCATTTGACCCATTCATTGCTACCTATACCTATTCCAATAGTGTACACTCAAGTGAATTATACTCTCCTGAGCCTTTAGCAGTGTCCTGAACACTGTCAGAGCTACACAGCCAGCCTCACCTGGGTCCTCAATGCTGCCTGGCCAGACTCCTGTCCACGTGGGCTTCCTTTTCTATTCCTCACAAAGGCTAAACTATTTCAAACCCTTAGCATGTCTACAAACTTGTGTCTCTATCATCTCCTGCCATCATAGCATGAAAAGTAAACCCATTTCACACACAAAAATACAAGCCTAAAGTTATGAAAGCGTTACTTGCACTGCTGCCTGTCCTTTCCCATCCTTGATATAATGAACAGGTGTTTCTCCCTCTATCTACGGCCAGACCCTTCTCCTGTATTTAAGAACTCATTGCTTTGGGCCATCTCAAGTCAACACATAACACAAATTGCTTTTGCAAATGAACTTTTTTCTAAATCCAAAAAATTTTTGTCTGCATATATCTTATTTAACTTCTCAGCAGAACATGGCCACACTACCTCTCTGAAATATTATCTTCCCTTCACTACCACTTTCACTTGGTTTGCTTAACTCTAGAGCTAACCCCAAGCTTCTTTACAGATTATTCTTTTCTGCCTTTACCTATGCAGTTGCTGTTTCTTGGGGTTTTGTCTTTGGCTTTCTGTTTTTTTTCATTCTCAACAGGCTTCCAAAGCAACCTCGTCCATTCCCAAGACCTAATTTGGATCTGCAGTCGTTAATATCCAAATGGGTGTCTCCATCTCAGATCTTTCACTGGATTTTCAAACATTTGCATTTTCAACTGTCTGAGACCTTAAACTGGAGATGTCCCAAATCAAACATTGAGTGGCTCCACTGCTCTACATTCCCTGTTCCTTAACTCAACGAGTACTGCTACCAGCTACCCAGTAAGCCTAGCAGTGCTTGCGAGTCATTCTGGAAACCTCCTTCTCCCTTTCCCTGCCTCCCACATCTAAACAATCATAAGGTCCTGTTAAGCCTACCTCCCAAATAGCTCTTCAGTTTCTCCAATATTTTCCAACTCTAGAGCCACCATCCTCGTAAAGCAGGGTGGGGAACGTCTGGTCTGTGGGCCATATACAGCCTGAGAAATCATTTGGGCTGTTCCTACCAAGACAACCGCAGACGGGACTCGAAACTCAATAAAAATAGGAGCTTTTTTCATAGCTAATTTTTAAGTTGATAATTTTATATGCCCTGAGAATGATGTTATAAATATCCAATTAGCCCTTAGCACAAAAAAGGTTTCCCAGCCCTGTTGTAGAGGCCCAATCAATCTGACGTGCACAACAGCTACCTCTTTCTAAAATGCAATTCCAATCATGTTACTTCCAAGGCTTTTTTCCTGTCCTTAGCATAATGTCACGTTCAAAACCTTCAATGTGGTTTAAAATGCCCTTGCCACCAGAACATTTTAAGTCTGAGAAATATGTTTTTTCCTCAACTTCTGTACATGTAAGTGTCTTCCTGAACCACTCATCTCTATACTTTCCATTGGGCTATTTCCTATTCATCACTCAGTCAATAACAGTTCGAGTGTCTTCTATATACCTTGCGTGGTGATTTAAACATAATGTATATTAATAATAACCTCAATAGCATACATTTATGGAGGATTTGCTATGTGGAATGTTAAGCACATTCTACATTACTTCTCACATCAATCCTATGAAGCTGTCTCATTGATTAGGAAACTGCAGCAAAGTACAGTTAAGAAATTGTTCTCAAGGTCAAGAGTTAGGGGCTGACAGAACCGGGATTCAAATCCAGGCAGTCCAGCTCCAGAGACCATTCTCTAAACCATGACACCATCATAGCCCAAAAAGATCTATTGGATAACAGAAATCCAACTACCCTAGAAGAAACAAAAAGCACACATACTGGAAGCCAGAATTTTGATCACTCTGTTGACATATTCTAGGTCAATTTTCCTGAGATTAACATTTGCTTAAATAGAAAATATTCCCACACACTCCAGATACTTATGGTTTCTAATCACCTAATCAATTTCATTAGAATTTCTTAAGAAGTACTTTTCAAATTGATTCCTTGACTATATTCCAGACTTCTTCAATTTGGATCTCTACATGTGGGAATCAGGAATAGGTATTTTCAATGAACCTTTTAGGTGGTGTTGCTGTATAGGCAAATACACAGAAAGTTCTGGGTTTCTTGAATATACCTCATCAAAGGATAAGATTTATATAACTATAGAATAAACATATAGGAATGCCAATTCTATTCTCTATATACCAAGTTTAAGCTGTCAACTTTTAAATTTTACCTTTAATTCCTGTTGTGATGTGAGGGAAGAAGAGGTCACAAGCATCCGCGTTAAGTTTTGAATTTTCTCATCCTTCACTTTTTGAAGCAATTCTTTTTCTTCCAAAAGTTGGGTCAATTGGTCTGTTTTCATTGCCCGGGCCCGAGTGTCTAAAGAAACCTATAGAATATATTAGGTTATCTTATAATAAATATAGCTAGGTTTTAAAACCTTGAAAATTGCTTAAAAGAACAGAATGTAAATGTTTTGTGAACCATGAAAATTTTAATGTTATTGAATAAAATATCCTACCTGCAGAACACCAATATGCAGTTACCATAACAACTTCCCAATCTTATAAAAAGTAAAATATACAGTTCTCCTCATGTGAATACTCCATATGCCATGTATAAGGTTATAACAATGGTGTTATAGGGGACCATAACGATGAAAACAAATAAACTGCAACTGCAGGTTTAGAAGAGGAATTCAAGATAATGTGAAACTGTAGAAAGTCATTTTAAGTAACCATACATGGTCTTTTTAACCTAATTCCCTATATTTGTGATAATTTTAAAAAAGTACCTATACCTGGCCCATTAAAAAATCTCTAATTTTGCCCTTTGGAAATGAAAACTAAAATCTTAGTTTCAAGAAACCAAATCTTTCAGTTTATAGTGAATTAAACTAAAACTTTTGAGTTGATTTCTTCTTAGTTGAAAACTGTTTTAAAGTTAGGTTACAGCCTGGCCAGGTGTGGCTCAGTGGTCGAGTGTCCACCTAGGATCCAGGCGATTGGGGTTTGATTCCCGGTCAGGGCACATGCCCAGGTTGTGGGCTCAATCCCCAGTCGGGGGCGTGCAGGAGGCAGCCAATCAATGACTCTCTCATCATTGATGTTTCTATCTCTCTCTCCCTCTCCATTCCTCTCCCTGAAACCAATAAAGATATTAAAAAAAAAAAAAATAATAATGTTAGGTTGCATAACTCAGATATTGATGACTTAAGAGTCTGAGCATTTAGGCAGATCTCAATTCTATTTCTGTTCCATTCTTTTTTTTAAATATATGTTTACTGATTTCAGAGAGGAAAGGGGAGGGAGAGGGAGACACAGAAACATCAATGATGAGAGAGTCATTGATCCGCTGCCTCCTGCACACTCCCAAATGGAGAACTGAGACCACAACCTGGGCATGTGCTCTAACCGGGAATTGAACTGCAATATCTTGGATCCTAGGTCGATGTTCAACTGTTGAGCCACGCCCAGCCAGGCTATTCCTTTTTTTTTTTTAATGTTTTTATTGATTTCAGAGAGAGGAAGGGAGAGGGAGAGAGAGAGAGAGAAACATCAATGATGAGAGAGTCATTTCATTAATGGGCTTCCTCCTCTGCATGCTCCCCACGGGGGATTGAGCCCAAAACCTGGGCATGTGCCCTGACTGGGAATTGAACTGTGACCTCCTGGTTCATAGGTCAACAACTGAGCCACGCTGGTGGGGCTTTCTGTCCCATTCTTTACTGAGATACATGATTCATACATACCTCCTCTAATTGTCTTTTAAGATCCATTATTTCTTCTCTGTATCTTTTCAGGAGAGCTTCCTCACTCGATACCTCATTAACATAAGGAGTATTCTTCATATATTTGGCAGTACTGGCAAACTGGAAAATACACGAGTATTAAGTGCTCGACACTGAAAAATTTATTTTCGTCACTATTTAGGTTTTCAGTAATTAAGTTTTTTAGAGAAAAATCAATGCTCTTTCCATGTGGCTTAATATACTTTTGAACACAAAGAGCATTCTATGTTCCTGTAACAATGCCTGTAATTTACCCTGGTACTGAAATATCTTAAAGAAGAGAAAAAAATATCTTAAAGACAGATGCTGACAGAAAACCTACAAAAACGGCTTACTAGAATCCCACCTACCCCTCAAAGTCCAGTGCCAGTGCTTCCTCTAGCTGAAGCTTTGCTTCTAGTCAAAAGCATCTGTCCTTCCTTTGAACTCTATCCTACTTATTAGCCATGTAACTACGATTCCAAGGCAATCATGTTGGAAGACAGTCTAATCTTCCCTATAAGGCTATAAATTCTGTGAAGCCAGGGACTCTATTTTCTATCTTTGTTTCTGACAGTACCTTGATCAGTGCTCAATAGCTATTGAAACAATGTGTCTTAGAGCACAAGTATCAGAAGTAATTTTAAGTAGGAACAGGAAGATTATCATTAAAAAACACTGAATTCTTCATCGAGAAAGCTATTCTATTGACATCTCTCATTTTTCTTTAAAACACAAAAAAACCAAAACACAGAAAATGCAGGCCTTAAGCTCAGAGCCAAGGCAAGCAACAATTAGCTAGCAGGAATTTAAGAATTATTGTTATACAGACACACAAACATTTTTTTGAGTCACCTTCCACTTGTTGCAAGTGATACTAGTTTTCATTTATGGGAATGATATAAAGTTTCCTTCTATAATAAATTAAGTTAAAAAGTGAGTTGTTTAAAGAAAAATATCATGTTAATTTCAGTAAGTGTTAGATGTGGCAAAAATTGTGGAGCTGAGATATGAGGTTTGGGAAAAGGAAAAAATGCTGTTTAGTAGACAATACATTAATTTTAAATGGTTTGTTAGGCCAATTAAAAAAACTATAGCTAATCTTAGTAAGTATTTTTTTCTTCAAGATAATTTCCCCCCCATATTGAGATAAAAAATCAAACTCACCTGGAGAGTACTAAGAGTTTCATCAAAAGACACTGGAGTAATTGTGCAGATAATACGCGTTTTGGCATTTCCTCCCAAGGAATTCTGTAGAATTCGTGTTAATTTGCTATCTCGATAATTTATGAAACCACTTAGTGAGAAATGAGTTTGGGAAGAAAAAGAATAAGAATTTTTATATAACAAAAATGGTTGGTTTACTAATGCAGAACCTTAAATTAGCTAGTTTTAAAAAAAATTCTTCACAGGTTAAAGGAAGCAGATCAAAATTACTGACAAAATATTTAAAATAAAAAAGTAAACTGAGCTGGTCAAAGTCATAGGTATGTGAAGTCATGCGTTCTTGCAGAATCACAAAAGCTTTTGAGCATATGGAAGAAATCAGTACTTCTGTCACTGAACGAACTATTATAATTTTCAAACTAATGAAAAATGTAAGCATTCATAGGTAAATGACAATGGGATACACTTACCCAACTTGTCCATCACTAAGTTTCTTGATCACTTGTCCCAAAATAAATAAACTTCGATTTATATTACAGCCTTCCTTGAGTCGCACACCTGCATTAAACAAATATGAAAACTAAAATTGATCTCTGTACTAGATGATGAATTTACCAGTAAGTTATAAGGGAAATCAGAAATTAAAGGGTCAGGTGCTAAAGTCTATGCTTTGGATTAGATCTGAGTCCACCTTTAATACCACTGGTAGAAGGAGCTCTCTCCCTATTCCTCCCGTCTATTAAGTGAATCGGCAAAGTTGTCACCTGAGAGAACTAGCAAAAGGAAAATGATGACTAAGAAAAGAATCAGAAGGAAGAAAAGCCCATTTCCTAAAAGAGCCTCTCTAAGTCCTCAGTTCAAATCTATTTTTTCCAAACCTCCAAATACCAGCAACTACAAACTTACAACCAAATTAAGTTCCTATGGCTCACAACCAAAAATGTTTTCATTTTAAAATTGTTAATATGCTCAAATGGCTCAAACATTAAAAAAAAAAAAAAGTACACCGAAAAAGCTCTCTCATTTTTATGCTTCATTTAACCTATTCCTATTCCTATACCAGGCAACCATTTTTCTTATTTATTAGTTTATTCTTCTAGAGATATTTTGAAATACAAGACCACGTAAATTAATTTCTCCCTTCTTTTTTACACTCACAGTAGCATACTAAATACACTATTTTTGCACTTTGCTTTCTTTCACTTGGCAACATATCATATCAGTAATCATTGGTCTATTTTATTGCATAGAACTCCACTGTATGAATGTATTAGAATTTATTTACCAGCACCCTGTCAAGGGACATGTAGGTTTTCAGTCTACCACGTATACAAAAAAATACTGCAGCAAATAATTTTGAACAGCTATTATTTCACAGGTGCACTATTCAGCTATGGCTGTAATATGGCTGCAAAACAAGCCAGCTTAAAACAAGCAGCATTTATTTCTTGTTTACAAGACTGAGGATTCACTGGGTTGGTGGATATAAGTTATGTCAGGCTGCAGGAAATTAACAGAGAGGCTTGACATCTTGATGATTTTGAACCTCCCCATCTAAGCATGCTTTTCCATTTGTTTAAGTATTCGGTTATGTCCTTCAGGTCTATTTTAAAGTTTTCTTTATTTTGGTCTGTGAAATTTTTATTGAGTTTCTTCCTAGGTATTACATCATTTACGTCACTGTTGTAAATGGAGTCTTTTGTACACTTAACAGTCTAAGTGTACACTGTATTGTTGTTGATTGTATTCTGAGAGTTATTAATGTTAGAATTTAATTTTGTACTCTACTACCTTTCCGAATTTCCTTGCTGATTATATGAAAATTTGGTTTTCACGGTACTCTCATGAGCTTTCCAGCTATACAATCCTATCAACTGCATAGTTTTAGTTTTTTAATTGATGCTACAGTAGCCTGAATTAGCTAGATACAGAAGCTGATTTTTACATTAAAGGCCTTTATCATAAAATTATTATTGTCATTACTTTGTTTCTAAAATGCATGCTGGCACTTTTTATTCTGTAAAAGAAAAGGAAAACATTCAGACCAACATATTGCATGAGTGTTCATTACCTTCAGCACCTGTTTGAGCAGCTCTTTCACTGCCTGCAAGATCAACCAAATTCTGAAAGATGGATGGAAATAAACCTTTAGAAAGGGTAACTTGAATAATGAAATCCAAACAACTGAAAGGACATTTTTAATGCATGGTTTATCTGACACCGCTGCTGTCCCTCACCTCACTGTTCAGGCTTCCTTTTTCTGAGTCAAACTGATCTCTATACCTTGTTCCTCATCTATAATGTATCTTCCATAATGCTGCCAGAATAGGTTCTCTATTTCCTACACAGAGTTCAAAATCTTATCATGGTGACTATGACTCTTTACAATCTGGCACCTGTGTTGCTCCAGCCTTATACCTATCCATCACTTTCTCTTAACTGCTCATGATGCACACACATCTCAAGACTTCTACACTTGCAAGTGCCATCCTTTGCTACTCCCTTTTGGTTAGTTTGAATGTTGCAGTACGCCCTTACTCTTTAAGCAGGAACAAAGGCAAATGCTAGCTCCTCAGTGTAGCTTTGCCAACTTTATCCCTCACCCCTACAGCCTGAATGAATTGCTCTTTTAGCTGTGAACCAAGAGGTGTTTATAGATATGACTTATCCTTACAGTGTTCAGCTAGTCATTTGTGGCTCTGAATACACTGTATCATCTTTAAAAGCATGGGCCTCTCTCTCATTTCACAAATGTTGTTGAAAAAAATTGACTGCCTTTCATGCTGCAGGCAGTATGTTAGGTGCTAAGGATACAGCTGTGAACCGGACAAATAAGATCCCTGTTCTCACAGAGCTTATATTCTACATGGGGTGGGATGAGGAGAGGAGAAAGTTGGTGAGAAGAGAGAAGAAGACAAACAGATAAGAAATATATCATGGTAAGTGTAATATAATACAGATAATTTAAGAAAGTGCTGGGAGAGAAAAGGGGAAGGGACAGAGAAGGTTCTTCAGATTGGGTAGTTGTGGAAGGCCTCCCATTCAGCTAAGATCAGAAATGACAGAGAAGAGGAACCCAGTCATGCAAAGACCAAGGGAATCATACTCTAGAGAAAAAAAAATAGACAGTACACTCAGTTACAAAGCAGTAATGAGCTTACTGCATTCAAAACACAGAGAAGGTAGCATGGCAGAGTGAAGTAGGGAGAGGACAAGATAGGGTAAGCAAGGGTAAGAACTCTGGATTTCCTAACTGCAATGGAAAGCCATGAGAGGGCTTTAGACAAGAGTGACATGTCTTGAATTAACTTTCTGAGGGATCGACTGTGAACCCTAGGTGAAGAAAGGATTGGGGAGGGGCAAGGGTGGCAGCAGGGAGCCCAGTTGGGAGGCTGGTGCAGGAATCTGTGTGACAGACAATGGTGGCTTGGGCTAGGCAGGTAGCAGTGGAGACAGTAAATAGTGGAGAGATGTCTTCTTTATTCTTTTACTCTCAAGAGCCCAGTACTGTGGGCTCATGATAAAGGCTCAGTAAATATCCCTTCTTTTTTAAAAAAAATTTTTTATTAACTTCAGAGAGAGGAAAGGAGAGGGAGAGACAGAAACATCAATGATGAGAGAGAGTCATTGATTGGCTGCCTCCTGTATGCCCCTTGCGGGGAATTGAACTTGCAACCCAGGCATGTGCCTTGACAGGGAATCGTACTGAGATCTTCTGGATCACAGGTCAATGCTCAACTGCTAAGCCATGCTGGCTGGGCTCAGTAAATATTCTTAATGCATTTAAAGTAAGAGATTTAAATTATTTCTCTGTGGAGACTTGCAGGGATGGCAGGTAATTCTGTACCCTTACTTTATAGTTCTATCTCAGATACTTCTTTCTCTAGAATACTCAGAGAAGTTTAATCTTTCTTGTAGACTATGTACTACAGATGACCTAGATACATAGTAACAGGGCAAAGTGGTGATGAAGGCAGCATGAATTAAGGCATAAAGTGGGAACAAGCATTAGTGTTCAAAGACATGAAGAGGCCCAAGCAATCTATAAGAAAGGAGCTCATGTAGAGTAGAAGTAAAGTTAGATGGGTTAAGAGTGGCCAGATCTTCTCTAGGAAAGTGACACAACAAAAGCAGTGCGTAATAACATTCAAAATCAGTGTAACAGACTGAAGAAAGGAAGATCAGAGTCATGGAGGCCAGGCCCAGGAGAACAATACAGTAATTCAAGAGAGATGAGAACCTAAATGAATATGACACCCACAAGGATGTTGAAAGATGAAATCAATAAGAAACGGTGATAACTGGACAAAAGGCAAGTCAGAAAGAGAGCCAAAATGACCTGGGTTTCCTGCCTAGGTGATTAGGTTAATACTGGTATTACTGGAAAAAAGGAATAGTCACATGCTAGGAAGAAATTAATTTGGTTTTAGACATGCTGAAGTTTGAGACAACAGTGGGACATACCATTAAAATAATCTTTAGGAGGACATGTATGAGAACTCCAAGACTCTAGACAAAATAAACATTTGGCCGTGATTAACGCAGAAATGATAACAATATCTGAGGGCAAGCATTTGAAGTAAGAAAGGCCACAGAACAGCTTGTATTTCTGTTAGAAGGGTAGGAGAAAAGAGGTCACACAGGGGAATAGAGAAGCACAGCTAAGAGAACCTAGATATTATCACAGAAAGGCTAGGAAACACTCAAAGGCCACCTACAAAGAGCCAGAAAATGACTCTGGGGAAGACTTCTTCCCAAGAAGATACTTAAGAGTAAGTGAGAAGGCTGGAAGGTTGCTGGACCAGATCGCGTCTATGGTCCCGAGATGAGAACATCAAACAATATGAGAAAAGTCACCAAATGGATCACTGAATACGTAAAGAGTATTAATGCCAAATTATTAACAGTAAAGTTGGAATTGTAGTGAAATATCAGAGGCCAGGTTTGGAAAACAAAACAGAAATTAGGATTTGTGGGGTTTTGTTGCTGTTAAATTAAAGCAAGACTAGTCTACTAAAATAAATTTTATATTTGTACAGTAAGTGAGGTAAACTAGAATTAGATATTTAATTAAGACTGATTTTTCAAAATCTAAAAATGAACTACATTATAGATTTATTATTTTTTTCTCCTGAAGTTTTCAAACCAAACAGAGTAAACTTAAATCATATCCCACATCAAGCTAAAGAATTTAAGCCCTGAAGATGGAAAGTAAGACAATAGTGATAAGGGAGAAGGAAGCATGAAAAGAGTCAGAAATGATATAGTGAAACAATGTGAGGTTTACTTATGTGAAAAAAAGGAATGTTGGCTTAATGCTTATAGTCACTTATTCAACAAACAGGAATTGAACATACACTATGTGCAGTGTGTTGGGGCTACAAGATAAAGGCTATCACTCTTCCCTTCAAGGGACTTACAGGCTAACACTGTGTTTATAACAAAATATATTCTTATTGTACTTAAGAATGAACTTGAATAATGTGACTTATTTTTAAATCATCCCACTTAAGTTTATCTCACAAGTCTCAATTCTATTGGTTGAGACTAAAAAACCAAAAAGACAAAGACCCCCCAACCTCAAATTCCAAGATCATGTTAACTCTTAAATGTGTATAAAAAACAACAAAAAACCCAAACCCCCAAACCCTCCTTCATTACTGGTCAGAAAAAGCCTCAAATCCTAGAGTCCTAAGATCTAAATTTTAGGAGATGGCAGCCATAACATAACAGGAAGAAAGAGTCTCTGAATTCTTCCTGTATTTCAGCTAGTAATTACATGCTACATGACACCAGTTATACTACCAATTTATAGATGGTTCTTACTAGTTCAGTTAATAGTCCTCATGACACCAAACATCCTGCAGCTGAATTAAATTTTGTTTTGCCCTCTATGGTACATTATCATGGTTCATCAATACTCACCAAATGGGACACCTTGACAGATCCTTCACAAGAAGGTTCACCTTTCTCTCTACTTTCCAAAATCTAGATGGAAAAGGCAACTTGTAGAAAAATTAGTGCATTCTTAATTGGAAAGACCAAACAGAGAGAGAATTACCTACCATCCTAAAAATGGTATGAGAACGACTGCTTCTTTGATTCATTTTTGTAATTCCATAATGTCTGTTCTCTGTAAAAAAATAAGTCCTATTTCAGCAGTGTATATTAAAATAAAAAAATTAACTTTTATTTTAGCTTAAAAGTAAAAGTGATTCGAAATCTAAATACATTTGATTGAATAGTTTTTACAATGTTTTGAAGAAATGCGGCATAAAGTCTTACTTTCTCCCTTTCTGATCCACTTCAAAGCCATTTCTGATGTATAAATAACTTCTTCTGTGAGGTCAGACACATACACATTCCTCTGAAGTTTAATTACGGGAAGAGTAAAGAAATAGAAATCACTTAAAAGTTTGCATATCAAAAAGTTACAAACTATGACAGAATTCATTTGTAGAAGTTAAAAATGCAAAATGAAAACTATAGTAATGAAAATAACAAGTAAACCTGTAATATTTACAATTTATTTCCTATATCAAAGCACATCCAAATTCTAACCTGAAACTTCCATCTTCATCTTTTTAGGAACTTACACCAATATATTACAGCTGTCAATATTTAAAAACTACACATACAGGGGTGGGCAAAAGTAGGTTTACAGTTCTGAGTATGCAAAACAGTTTATTCTTGTATTATTATTATTATTGTATTATTTGTGTTACAGCTGTAAACCTACTTTTGCCAACCCCTGTATTGCTTAAAAGGTGATCTCTATAAAGGCTTACTGAAGAAAACTAAAAACAAACCATAGATACCAAAGACACTTAAAAAATATAGAAAGGTATATATTCAAGAACAATAATCCGAACGAATAAATCTCTTTTTTGAGCCACTTTAACTCCACTACTTACATTGAAGTCTTCCCGAATTATTAAAGGCTTCATTTTTCGAGTGTCACAAAGTAAATCTGTAATGGTTTCATTGTATATCTCCATGTAAGACACACGTAAGAGAAATTCCCTATCAGGAAACTAGAAGGAAGAAAAAAAAATAAAAACATCAGAGATTACCCAATTAGGAAAACCTAATACTAAATGCTTATGTGCTAATACTAAATATTAAAATATTGTTTGAGAAATTATCTTCATAAAACAAACAAAAACACACACAAAAAAATCCCATAGTTCTGTATTAACAATGATAAACACAAAAGTATAAAAGCAGCCCAGCCAGCACGACTCAGTAGTTAAGCATTGACCTATGATCCAGGGGATCTCGGTTCGATTCCCAGTCAGGGCACATGCCAGGGTTGTGGGCTCGATTCCCAGTAGGGGATGTGCAGGAGGCAGATGATCGATGACTCTCTCTCATCACTGATGTTTCTCTCTCTCTTTCTCCCTCTCCCTTCCCCTCTCTGAAATCAGTAAAACATATTAAAAAAAAAAAGGCAAATGCACTGTTTCAGAAAAGTATAGTATCATAGAATTGGAAGATTGCCCAGTCCAACTCTATAAGCTCAAAATAAAACCCTACTCACAGATGTTCAAATGAGAACATTAAAAATCATTAAAATAATAATGAAAAAAATTAATTCAGATACAATCATCTGTTAATTAATAAACACAAACCCCAAAGGCAGTGAGGAGCTAACCATTCCGATAAGACTTTCCTGAAGATTTAAGGCAAAAAATGAAGAACTTGAAGGTCTGAAGTAAGTTTGTGGGGAAAAAAGTGAATCTATGCCAGGCCTTTCTCCCCTCCCCGTGGATAATCAAGAGATAACTGTCAATCTATTTCCTTTCATCATTACAAGAGAACACTGAAGTTGCTATCCTATTATTACTACTTTTACCTGTAAAAAGTAGAAATTTAGCTAAGTTATTTACCTTCTCAATTTTTTGGAAAATGTCATGAATTGCCCTGGGTATTACTCCCAAATAATCTCCTGAACCCATCATAGTATATGTTTTTCCTGAAGCAGTCTGCCCATAGGCAAATATAGTACCTGCAAAAACAACACAGACACATGCAAAGATTAAAAATGAGATGAGTGTGTGAAGCTTATTATTTGTTGAACAGATGTCCTAGACCAAAATATTTCTGTAGTGAATACAAACCATTGTAGCCTTGTATGGCAGAATCTATGATGGGCACTGCTATTTCTTCATAAACATCTTTAGTGGTTTCATTACTATCAAAGACACGATCTAAAAAAAAAATACACATAAGTTAAACCAAACAAACTGCGTTTTTATTCTTAATAGCTGCTCAAAGAAATAAAATTGTGAGGATATGGTATAAAATATTTAAGACACAATATTTTCTTCAACTTTTTGGTCCTCTGAAAATATACTTCTCTACAAGGTAAAATGTATTGGTTCCCACACACAAACAAACAAAAACATGTCATCTATGCTACGTGCCTTTCAAGAGGCAGTAGGGCATAGTGGCTGAATATGCAGTGTGGAATCAGATTATCTGCAAATATTGGTTCTGAGACTCATAAGCTGTGTAACCTTGGGCACGGTGGTCGATGTTTCTGTGTCTTAGTTCCCTAATTTTTAAAATCAATACACTATATTGTCTTCCTCATGGAATTATTGTAAACATTTGGTTAATAATTAGGAAATGAGAATTATTACTACTCTTTGAGAAATTTCAATGTTTATAACATATCTAGCAAGAAGACCTAGCTCAAACTTAAGTAACAAATGCAAACATTTGGAAAAAAGTGCTAAAAAAAGTACTGACTTTAGAAGGAATGACTAGTTTGCTGGTTGCTAAAGGCTGGGTTTAGGATAGCATTTGCCCTGATGAATTCACTAGTCTAGAAGTGTTTTTCTGTTTTGTTAAAAATGGACCACTCTTGCAGTGGTAACCTCATTAAAAAGCTCACAAGAAATGAATTTGTGAATCAGGAGGAAAATGTATTGACCTGTGATGAGAAATTCAGTGATCATACTACTTGCTTGTACCATGCCCACACATCTACCCTGTTGCAAAACTATATCGAAAACCAAAGTGCCATCTGAAGGCTGCTTAGGCATCATGATTTCTGAGCAAGGAGAGATGGCAAGATGATTCAAATCTTAATGACATCTGCTTCAGGTGGATGAATGAGGCAAAATCCTTTATGGGCATATATGACTACTGAGAACCTGTAGTACCTGAGTCGAAATGCTTGTCCATTCCTTACTTTCGGTTTTATAATCTCTGGCACATATTGTTTTACCTTTTAAAAAATTATGGTAATGCCCTCAAACAGTCCTTTACCAGGAATCATTTTCTCTACTATATATCTTTGCTCCAGAACCTTTTAAGTTGGCTTTCTACTTTAACACTGATTTGACAACCTAATCACTCTTACTGCTAAAGATTGTTGAGAAGACCTCACTGTCGCTCTTTGGTGCCTAAGTAGTAGCATCGTAGTGGGGCTGGAACACGGAACTGGAGCCTGACTTTCTACTTGCTGGCTGTGTGATTCTGGGCCTCTGTTTAAGTTCCGTTTTAAAATGGGAAGATACCTATCGCATAGTACCTAGTACACATGTTTGTTAGAAGATCAAATGAGTTAATATTACAAAATGCTTAGAACAGTGTCTGGCACATTGGCAGCACTATATACATAGTAAATCAATATAACAAACCAGCCTAGTCAACCGTTAGGGCCTTCAAGTTCCTTTGTCCTAGCTAGCTTTCCCTCATCCCACAAGTCACAGTTTAAGTGGTAACATTTCAGATACCTAGACTACTTAGATTCCCCGCTATAAACTTCCATAAAGCTTATCCTAACTGTACTTACTCGTTTAAAGTGTCCCTTCTGACCACATGATAAGCTCCACAAAAACTAAGGTGGGTTCTTGCTGTATTCCAGCAAAGAAGGGATATATTCACTATTTATTGTTTAAAGAGATATCTTGAAAATAATTGTGGAAAAAATACTAAAGATCTTAAAGATGCCTTGACATTAAGTAACATATTTTGGGCTTATGGAGTTTTAGGCCACAAACACACTAATGAACAAGAGGAAAAATGATAGTTTTAGTCATAAGGCATTTTGACTATCACTGTATTTTAAATATCAATTTTATTATCTTACTTATCATACATGGGTGACACTTTAAGGTTTCCACTGAAGCAGTTAACAGAAGGCTTAGTCTCATCTTTAACGACAAATCCAGTATTACTTATAAGCTTTTGTACTCAATAGGAACAGAATAACAGGTTAACTTTTGATGCTCTTATAAGCTTACCAAAACTGAAGGATTTACTCCCATCCACTTGATAAATAGCATTATTGCCAGTTTTCCAATAAACCTGGGCAGCTTCTCCAAGAGCTTCCTCTCTAAAACAATAAAACACTGCATTTTACTATAAGTGGTCATAGAAGCCATGTTATATATGAAAGGTAACTTAAAATATTTCATCTTCTGAAGAATATTTTAAAAGACAGTAATGACTTATACCTAAATCAGAGAAACATGGAAAATCCACCTTTGAGGGGTCAACACTTTTAAACAGGGCTTTAGTAGGCTCCTGCCCTCTCTTGGGAGTTTCCATGGGAAGCTCTTCAGTCCCTCTGTCTTACCCAGTATCGGCAGTTGAAAAGGCACATTCAAAATGCAACTCTGCTTATATCCCTCTCCCTTAAAGCTTTTAAAAGTCATCAGAAGTCCTTAATATGGCCCATGAGACCTGGATCGTGTTTATTTCTCTTCAACCTTATCTTCTAAATTCCTATATATGTCCTAACTCCCTACAAATCAACTACCAGAAGGTTCCCACAAGATTCAGCCCCTCTGTGCCTGGCATATCCTGACTGACCTTTCCATTAAGTAACCTTATTTTTTCATTCACGAAGTGTCTGGAGTTTCCTGGCACGAGCACTGCCTCTCCCCCACACTGTCATCTCACTGAAGGGCTCTGACTCCTCTAGCAAACACTCTCCACCTGCCTATGGTAACTTCACTCGTCAGGATGTATTGTAATAGTTTCCTTACGGGGCAAAGGGAGAGACCAGAGAAGCGAACGGACTTTATTATTGCCCCTCCCTGCTTTTTCTCTATGGCATTTATCACTCCCGCATTAACGTTTAACGTTCTCTATTTTTTAACTGTATTTTCTGTCTCCCCTCGCCCCGATGTAAGATCCACAGAGCAATGTATGTATTTGTTTTTATTACAGTACACTGTAATAAAAAAAAATCCATATTCATAAATATCAGCCATTCAGCAGTCGGCACGTTGTATTCAATCACCGTCTGCGAAGTCTCAAGTGCGACCAGTCCTTGCTCGTGAGGAGCACACAGAAAAAGGGTGAAATGACGGCTGAGCGCCAGTAACGACCTTCCCGACCGACTCTCCTGGGGGATGGGTGGGGTGGGCTGGCGGGCAGGGGAGAAGCGGCGCAGGGGTAAGTCTTTAACTCAGCCAGACTGAATTTTTTCGATTAAGAGAATCCGCGTCTGGAATGTATCTTAAGATCCTCCCGTCCTTCCCTGCCACTTGCCAGATAAGGGAACTCAGGCCCGAAGACCAGGAGCGGATGAGGACAGTGAAGGGATTAGCTAAAGCCCATAAATGCAGGCCCCACGGGCACCAACCACAGTTAGGTGAAGGCCAAGGGAGGGGGCCGGGGGTGTGGAGATGGGTAAAAGGGGGGACACCTGCAATAATGCCAACATTTAACAATTTTTAATACAAAAAATAGAAAGAAAAAGAGGGTGAGCGGCGGAGTTACTAAGCGGCGGCGCCCGGAAGCGGCAGCTCTGGGAAACGCCGCACGACTCCCGTCTCCGGCGGGGNGCCGCAGGGGGGTCCGGTCGCGGTCTCGCTCCCTTACCTGCTGTTGAGCGGCCGCACCCGCACGCACACGGCGACGGCTCCTTCCTCCGCCATCCCGTCGGGTTAGACCCCGGGAACCGGCCCAGTCCCTCCGCGGCCGCCGCAGCGAAGCCCACGGGCCGCCCCGCCTTTAAGTTTAAATTTTCCCAAACGCCGCAGCTGATTGAGCGCGGCCTGGTGACGTCACGGGCCGTTCCACCTGCGCCGCGGAGCGGGGGGCGCGAGGCGGGCGCGCCCACGGAC